GTGTCTTCAGCTCGTTCAGTTCCCTGTGACCCATGTGTGGTGTCCAGTCTCCTCACCTGGGTTGGACAGAACAATTTGTGGTCAAGGTAGAAACTCAAGAATGGCTGGAGGGTGTGTCCTTGTGATGAATTGTCAAAGCAGGAAACTGAAGAGGCCACCGTGGGTCCCCAAAAGTCTCAGGGTGTTGTCACTGCACGCAGAGACACCAGCTGCCGTTAAGGCTGGATGTGAAGCGGGTTTTCAATTTTGAGACACAAGGATAAACAGGGCTGGAGTTATTATCCATGTTAGTGTATGAGGTTAAGTGAATGGGGCCAAAGCCTCCTGGGTTCTCAGAGGTTACAGAAATACCACAGGTCTCTACCCTTGCAAGACTAACTTCTCTCTGTGGGAACAGTCATCAGCCGCTGTGCCCGCAGCTCTGTTGTCCTACTGGTGTCACCTATTCTGTCGACCTCACAGATGTGATGTGATCAGAGATGTGAGCATATTCATTTAGCCAGAGTTTTTTTTTTTTCCAGGTCTTGGTGTCAATAGACTTGAAGCCACATCTGTATTCTTGCAGACACTCACCTCGGCCTTAGGCCGTTTGCCCGCAGGCTTGCTGTGAACTGACCTTGGCATTTTAGCTCCCGCACATCTGTGGATGGAATAGTTGATAGTGGAGGGCTGATGGTCTGTGAGCTTCTGTCCTCCTCTTGCTTACAGTGTCTGTCACACTGTCTGAGGAAGAGATCAGATTTGGGTGCTGTTAGGAGTTTTCACAGGCAGTTACCACATCTACACACATCTGTAGATAGTAAGGTGCTTTGACAAGTTCAGGTGCTGGGAACAGTCGAGGAATTCTCTGGACATGTACCTCTTTCATGAGGCAGTATCCTCCCTGGGCTCTGAGCAGGTCGTGTCCTTATACAGCCTAGGCTCCATAAGTCTCACAATTAGGTAGACAGATACTGACATCATTAGTCTGAGATCCGAGCTTGCTGTTCTCAGGGTGGTAACCACTAGCCCTTGGTGGACGTTTACATTCAAATTTAAACTGGAGTTAAACAGAATTCAAAGTTGAATTCCCCAGCCGCACTGGCTACATTGTAAGTGCTCAGGAGCCACGTGTGTGTCAAGGGGCTGCTGTGTGGGAAAGCTCAGAGAGGACCATGCCCATCTTCCTCTGAGGTACTGCTGGGCAGGGTGAACAGGAAGGTGGTTGCTGCTGGTGCTCATGAGTTGGGAATATTTGCAGGCTCTGGTCTGCAGCCCTCTTCTGTTACCTCTGTACACATATTCCCACTCCATTCTGCCCTGATCTGTACTGGATACGCAGTTGTCTGTGGTTGGAAACTTCGCCCCATGGCTGTTGAGCGGTGCTGTAGCTACATTCTATCTGGTATGTCTACATTCTATCTGGTACGTCGTGGCTACATGGCCTGGGGTGAGTTAACTGATCATCCTGAGCTTCAGTCTTTGCACCTGAAATGAGAATAATAAACCATTCCCATTGTGAGCCTCAATGAGAACATGAGGCATCTGACTAGGTTCAGGCTAAATCCTCAGCAACTGCTTCTCCAGTTGGATTGATATCACTCTTCTCTCTCTCTGTGTTATGCATATATGAGGATATTGAGCGTTAATGTCAGTACCTGCATTTTAAAATTTAAGCAGAGGGTAAACAGAGGTACAGATTATCATTAAACAGTTTTGTATAAGCAAAACTTCTTGTTTGATACAGCACAGTACAGTGAGTGCCAGTCAATAAATGTTTATAGATCATGTACAGTGTATTAAGAACTTGCAACTATCTTTGTGGAAAAGCCCTGTGTTGGGCCTCTGAGGAGGCATCAGTAGGAAGCACTTCCCCTGGGGGGCACCCATATTCTGAAGAGGGAGGGACCAAGGGGTGAATAAGACGGGTATACAGATACTTACAGAAGGAACCCTGTGATCAGAATACGCAGAAGGGCTGTGCGAGGCACCTAGAGGAGAGGCAGACCCAGGGGAAGGGAGGCTTACATCCAGCTGGGGGGATAGGAAAGCACCTTGGGACAGTGATAACTGAGGCAGGACTTTTCCCCTGGGTGGTGGGATGTAAACAGAGACAATAAAAGCACTTTGTGTTAAGAATTGGAGCTGAGTTCTTGAACCCTTAGGGGAGGAGATCTGGAAGGATTGGCCAGGTCCCACTGAAGGAAGGTCCAGATGCCAGGCCCAGGTGTTGACCTAATTGCGCAGGCCCTGGGGAACCATGGAAAGCCGTCAACTTTCTGCTTGGCTCTACTGCAGCTTTCAAAGGGAAGCACGCATTCCTCTGGTGGGGGCGGGAAGACAGGATGAATGGTCCTGTTTGATCTTCCTCAGCCACTAAGTTTGTCAGATGGCATTTCTTCAGCAGAGAAAGGAACAAAGTACACAGGCGCCCCACAGGTGCACGGCTGTGTGCAGGCATGCACCATGCCATTCGTCATTCAGCCAGGGCCGCACTTGCACGTCTCTGGGGTGCACATACCTCGGGGGGCCCTGGGCACAGATGGAGGCGGTTGGTACAATAGCAGAGGGGTGCCTTTGAGCTTTTCCTTTCAGAAGTCGGAAGTGGGGGTTTAATGGAGCCCTTTTGGATCTTTGCTTTAGTTTATTCTGTTTTTGTATTCCTTTCATTAGCGTTTTCAAACTCAGTACGCTGGCTTGACTGCGTGATAGAGATGCATGCATGCGGCTGCATGTCTCAGGCACAGGATGGCCTTGTGATCCCACAGCAGAAAGCTTATTTCCTATCATGGAGTTGGGGCATCTCAATGGTCGGTGAAACAAGTGTGTGAAGAATAGAGCTCTTTTCATCCTGGCCTCTTCTCAGGTGGCTCCGGAGGGATAGAACTGTTAGTATTCTGCAGGACAGACTTACTTCTTTCTAGGACATTAGGTACATGGTCAGTCTTCAGTTTTAAAAAATACCGAATTTTTATACTGTTGTGAGATGGGTTCTTGAGAGTTAAGAAGTGCCCATTGGTGGGGTGGGGAAGGGCCCCATTCATGAAGGCTTGTTAAATTGGCCCTTAACCTATATAAATGGTATTTCCGTTCATTTTTTCCAATATATATTTCATTAAAGTTTTGGGCATTCCCCTCCTCCCCTGTCTGTACCTTTTTCCATGTCCCCCCAACTGTCAGTATGTTAAGGCCTATCAAGCCAGGCTTGTGTCCCTTGGTGTGAGTTCATCCACTGGCGCCTGGTCAGCCTATCTAACATCACTCCCTTAAAGAAGACCAACTCTCCCTCCCTCAGCAATGATCAGCTGCCAATAGTTCCTCAGTTAAGGTTGGGGCCTGCTGCCCCATTTCGCCACTGCTATGCTGGGTTTTGTCTGTTTTGAGTTATAAATGCTATATCAAAATTAATTTTTTTTATATGTGTGCACATGCACGTGTATGTGGAGGCCAGAAGTCAACCTCAGGTTTCATTTCTCAGATGCTTGCCTACCGTGTTTTCTGAGGCTGGGTCTCTCACTGGCCTGGATCTCATCAATTGGGCTGATTGAGTGGCTTCTGAGCCCCAGGGCTCCTGTTTCTGCTTCCAGCACTGGTGTTACAAAAGCGAGCCCCCGTAATCAACATTTTTTTAAATACATAATTTACTGAGAATTTCATACATGGCACATAAGGTGCTTTGATCAAATCCATGCCCACTCCCTCCCCTCCAACTCGTCCCATATCTCCCCATCACTTTTTTCTGATAACTTCATGTATTCTTTCTTCTTCTTTGATTTCTTCTTCTTTGAGAATAGAGGAATAATTAGTGCTTTAAATATTTATTTTTACGGGGCTTTTGGCTACTCTAACATTTCCCCCTCTGAAGAGGTAACCCTAAAAATCTTTTAAGGATTTGATACAAGCTCCCAAACATTTTATGTTGCGTTCTAAGGCTAGAACTAGGGTCCTCAAGCTCGCAAGGCAGACACCTTACTGATTGAGCCATCTCCCCAGCCCCTGAATGGTACATTGGAACCAAGAATAGAGGCAGTTTGTATGTGAGCTGTCCAAATTTTAGCCTCAACCCTGCACCCCCATAACATGAGCCTTGGGATTCCCTTACCAGGGCAGAGCTCAGCAAGCCTTCTGCCTTCGCCCAAATAGCTCAGAGGGTGAAATGCACACCTTGTCCTTTTGGTCCTCCAGCCAGGGACACTCAGTAGACAGCTGTGTGCCAATGCTCCTACAGAAGTCCCTTGAGATGTTTTGGCCCCATGACCTCCAAGTGACACTGGAAGGAGCCGTGCTGCCATCATACAGTTTGCTGGTATTTTAGAGGTGGGCAGAAAGGCGTGGCACGGTCTCCTCCTGTGCTTGGTTCTGAAAGTGGTCGCCTGTAAAGTCATCGGCCACTCCCTACTGTAATCATTGAAAATATGCACACACAGGCCGGGGCCATAGCTGGCAGTAAAGTGCTTTCGAGGACCCGAGTTTGATCCCCAGAACCCACCTAAAGGAAAAGCTGGGTTTGTAATCCCAGTGTTGGGGAGGCGGAGACAGGCGGATTCCCTGGGGCTTACTGGGCAGCCAGCCAGCCTAGCCTACTGGGTGAATTCCAAGCCAGGGAGAGACCATGTCTCAGAAACAACAGCAGATGTGAACTGCACCCGAGGACAAGAGCTGAGTTGCTCCTTTGCTTCCATACGCATGCACATATGCATCTACACATATATGAATATATACATACATGCACACAACATCCATACAAACAAATGTGTAAGCTTATACCAAGCAATTTAATAAAAGTAAGCTTGGGAGGCAGAGGGAAGAAAGGACACGGAGAAGAGCTGCCTGGGTCCTGCTGACTTCAGTTGACAGCCCGGGCTCTAGTGAGGAGCTGTGGATGACAGCAGAAATCGTAACTTGGCCCCAAACACTTGAACATGCTGCTGTAGAAATGAAGAGATGGGAAATGTCACCAGGGCAAGGGAGCCAGCCAACAGGAGCCTTAACCCCAACCCCAGTGTCTCCTGTTCTTTCAGGATTTGGCCTTGGAGGAGGCTGTTCTGGAGGAGCTGACCCAGAAGGTGGCCCAGGAGCACAAAGCCCACAGGTAAGGCAGGAGGAGGGCGAGCAGCTGTCTGGACAGCACAACATACTGTTTATGAGGCAAGGCTTCGGTGTCCCTACCTACCCCACCCCTGGCCTGACTAGTGACGTGGTTCCCTTCCTCCACCATGTGGCTGGGCTCTGTGTTACTGTTCTGAGGGAGGCACTCGTGGACTCCAGGACTGTCCTCCCCTTCCTCCTCTCACCTCTCCCCATCACTCCCTTCTCTTCCCTTCTTTCTTCCCTTCCCTCTTTAAAATTTTTTCTTTTTTAAAAAAATCCTAGAGAATTTTCCCAGTCAGGAGCAGAATAATTTCTTTATAAAGCAGATAATATTGTTCACAGAGATATATGGAATAATTAGTGCTTTAAAAATATTTTATTTGTTATTTTTATTTTGTGTATGAGTGTGCCGCCTGCATGTATGTAAGTATACCCATGTTGTGCAGTGCCCACGGAGTCAGAAGAGTGTTGTCATGCAGTGTTGGTAGAGGCTAGAAGAAGGTGTCAAATCTCCTGGAACTGGAGCTATGGGGAGTTGTTAACCTCCATATGGGTGTTGGGAGCTGACCCTGAGTCCTCTGGAAGAACAATACTCTTAACCGCTGAGCCATCTCTCCAACACCATTTTTTTTTTTTTTTTTTTTTTTTTTTTTTTTTTGTCTTTTTGAGACAGGGTCTCCCTGTAGCCCAAGCTGTCTTGGAACTCACTATGTAGACCAGGCTGGCCTCGAACTCACAGAAATCCACCTCTGCCTCCTGAGTGCTGGGATTAAAGGTGTGTGCCACCACACCCAGCAACACCATAATTTTTAAGGCTGCATCTCTCTCTCTTTTTTTAACTTTTCTGTGTATGAGTGTATTGTTTGCATGTGTGTAAGTATACCCATGTCATCCAGTGCCTGCAGAAGTCAGAAGACAGTGTTGGATCCCCTGAAACTGGAGTTACAGAAGGTTGTTAGCTGCCATGTGGGTGCTGGGAATCGAACCTGGGTCCTCTGCAAGAGCAGTCAGTGCTTTTAACCACTGAGCCATCTCTCCCACCCCAAGGCTGCATCACTTAATTTGTCTTTTCTTATTCCCTGATGAGTAAGTGGCTGCTGAGACTGTTGTTGCTGGGAACTGTTAATGCGTACTAATGTGCCACAGTTCCAGAGCCCAGGGCTGTACCATGCTCTGGGATTTTGCTTGTCAGGATGATGGGGTCTTCATCCCTTACCCTTAACTGTTTTCTCTGGTGCTGACCCCTTGTAGTGGGATCCTGCCAGCAGAGGCTGAGCTGATGTACATCAATGAAGTGGAACGTTTGGATGGATTTGGACAGGAAATCTTCCCCGTGAAGGTAAGGCATCATTCCTCAGCCCACACCAGTGTTCTGAGAACAGCACAGGCATTCGAAAAGTTATTGTGGATTGCTGGGGGCAGGATGGCTCTGCCTGCTTAGTGTCATGCAGTGTTAGTTGATGCATTAGTGACTTTCCCCTTGCTGTGACAAAATACCTGAGAAGAAACAACTTAGAGGAGGAAGTATTTATTCTGAATCACAGTTTAAGGGGATACAGCCCATCATAGTGGTGAAGCCGTGGCGACAGGAGGTAGCTGGTCACATTGCATAAGCAGGCAGGAGGTAGAGTGTGGACAGGAAATAGAGTAGGGTTGTGAAGCCTCCAGACCCATCCACAGTGACCTACTTCCTCTAGTAAGACTCCACCTCCTAAAGGTTCCACAACTTTCCTGAACAGTGCCATTAGCTGGGAACTAGCTGTTCAAATAGACAAGCCAGTCAGAAACATTTCATATTCTACCCACAACAGTTGACAAGCACACTTTAAGTAAAGGAAACTTATGTTTTGGCCCAGAGATTTTGCATTTGGTCTTCAGCAGAATCTATCCCATAAGACAGCCATCTAAGTGAGTCCTATGCATGGCACATCCTTCACCTTGAAGGTGTCAAGGCCAGTGCCTGATGTCCTGTGTGGAGGACAGAGACTCAGGCTTTTAGTTTCCTTCCTCTGCATCTCTTTCCTTTTCTTTGAATGGATGGTAGTAGCATTCCCCACATGTGGTTATGTTTTATGATTTCCCCACGTGCAGTTATGTTTTATTTCTACAGCTCTGGAGAGCTGTGCATGGTGCATCTGCAGCCCGTTTTGTGTTGGTGGAAACCATGCCTAGGACATTGTTAAAGCAAATCACATCCTTTGTAACTGATCCACCTCCTGAAGTGGGCGTGGTTTGGGGGTTGTGGAGCAGGGCCACTGGCAGAGATGAACCCATAATCCAAACTTGTTTTCTTCTCTCTACTGACCAACTCTTAAAAAAATGGAACTCTATCAGAAACGTAATGCAGCTGGCACCTCCAGCGATCTGGAAAACGCCTGCGATTTCAGCGCACACATTCCACTCTAGACTGGCCTGACTGGCTGCTTTATAGGCGCTCTGGTCCCCTCTGCTGCTCACTCGCAGTTTGCCTTAATGAGAACTGCTTTTGAGCATCGAGCAGAATTGAGTGGGGTGACCGCAGTTCACCGAGAGGGCTAAATGGCTCTATTTAGATTTGTTTAATTTTCTTTTGCTTCTCTGATGACTGCCCTGATAGGCCTGTAATCCATTTCCTTGTAGTAACGCCTGGTGAAGCCATCTGCAGCCCACTTACTGAAGCCCATATACAGTCATGGTATTTTGAGTCGCTGAAAACTTGATAAACTTTTCTGTACTTTGAACAAACTAACTTCTCTTGGTGCCTGTTGAAGTTGGGGATTTTGTTTGCTTGTTTACTTTTAGGAATTCTGAACTGTGGGGAGGAGGGGTAGTTGATATGCTGAAGTCCCCTGTGCAGGATTCGGATGCCCTTTCTAGCAAGTTCCTCAATGGGGATGAGGAATAGCTGCCGTCCTCAGGGTGGGGGGACCTGCAGTGTTCAATCATGGTCAGTGGGATGGGACCTGGCCTTGCTGCTTCACCTTAATGGAGCTGTTCACCAACAGACCCCATGATTCTGGGTGGCCTGTGATTGGGGGATGGGAGCAGGAGACAGTGGAGATATCAGAGTGGTCATCCCTGAACCAAGTTTGTGAAAGCAGATGGGGGACAGACAGTAAGTGGGCTGTGGGCCCTTGTGGCTTCTTTGAGTACTTGCACCCGGTGCCTGCTTTCCCACGAGTGGTTCCTTAAACAGTTCCCAGGCCTCGTCTTGCAAGGCCTGGCCTTCCTCACCCTCCACACACACTAGTGTCACTGCTGTATGAGCCGATCCCATACCTACAGGGCCTCTGGGCTCATGGGAGGGTGCTGAAGCACAGCTCTGCCCGTCTGCCACTGCAGAGCTGTCCTCAGCTGATACCTCGCCTCAAGGTTTGTCCGGTGCAATGCTGACCCATCTCCACCAGCATCTTGTACCTTGTCGCTGCCCTGGCCGTCACTTCTGGTTTTTTTTCGGTTGTTCCACCCCAGAAACTGCTCTTCCCGAATCCCTGTCACCACCAGACTCTGGTGTAGACCTGCTGACAAAGCACTGGTGCGTCTTCCGTAGGTTCCCATCCTCCTCCCTTCTCCACGCCTCTTACCTTATGTCTCCACGTGCCTCTTTCTGTGGTATAACTTACGGTTCAGCGTCTCTTCATCACCAAGACCATGTTTTCTCATCTTCCCCAGTTCATGCCCTTCCCTTCAATGCACTAAATAATTTGGGCTGGCCTCAAGGTCCTGACGGTCCTCGCCACTGCCTTCAGAGTGCTGGGATCGCAGGTTGCACCACTATACCCAGTCTGTCGCAACTTAACAGCCTTTCTGCCTTGACCACCACCAGCTGTCCTATTGCTGCCCAAGAAGCCTCAGAGGAGGGTGTGAGGAGATGTCACTGAGTAGGGACCCCGCCTCTGGGGAAGGTGAAAGCCTGCCTATCTAGCTTTGTTTTTGTCATGATGCCCTCCCTGTTCTTGCTCTGGGAAAACCTCTCCCTGATGGAAGCAGGGGGCCGAGTGGCAATTTCTCTCTCTGTGTTTAGCCTGTTCCCATGCTGGTCTCAAAACTCCGATAGCCAGGTATCCCAGGTAATGCGTGGGAAGAATCTGACTGGCTGCAGAGCCTAGACTAAAGACGAGACATCTAGGGCCCCTAGCAGAGGACCCCACAGGTCACTGGCCAGAAAAGCCCATAAGCCCCCTGTGTGCTGATAAAGCCCCCAGCCAGCACTGAGCATCCACATGCAGTGTGAACAGGCAGCCAAGTGTCACCCTGTAGGGTGGGCACCAGAGAGGCTGATGGGATAATAATCCAGAGTCCTGGAGGAGGAGACTATGGGAAGATTGTCTTGTTCAGCATATTACTGGGGGTACTGGAGATGTAACTCAGTTGGTAGAGTGCTTACTTAGCATGTACAAAACCCTAGGTTCAGTCCCCATCACCTCATACGCTGGGCGTGAGGCACATCTCCAATCCTAGCCCTCAGGAAGTGGAGGCAGTAGGATCTGAAATTCAAAGTCAACCTCACCTACGTAATGAGTTTGAGGAAGCCTGGGGTATGCAAGACCCTATCTCAAAAAAAAAAAAAAGTAATTAAAAAGTTTTCAGAAATTAAAACTGTATCAGAAATGGAAGGCAATAGAGAGATTAAGAGTAAAATTAAGAAAATCTCATCAAAAGCTCAGTCGTGGAAAGTAGGGGCAGGAGGGAGAGGAAAGGATTTTTGGATCATCCAGAACGTTTCATGTCTGAGTAATTGGAGTTATGAAGAGTGATCCTTGAATGGAAGCCCTTTGGGAGTGGAGCTGTCCCAAGGACGTGAGGGTTGAAGAGACACAGTGAGACTTGAACATGAATCTGTCGCTGTCTTGCTGTCTTGACATGGGTGGGGGTGGACACAGATATCCTGCAGACTGACACTAAACCCCAGGAATACTCAACTCCTCCAAGTGTGTGCATGGGTAGCTCTGGTTTTTTAAAAATGGAAAAACTTAAAAACTTAATAGAGGTTCCTGGAGGAGAAAATCCAAGTGGCCAACACGTTTGAGAAAATCCTAAAGTTGTTTCCAAGTATCAGTGTAGAAAAAGAAAAAGATTCACATGTAGTTCCCCATGTGCAGTGGGGTGATTCCTCTAGAACCACAGTCCTCAACCCCACCTGTCACCTGGCTGCGAGGATGGCACTCTTGACAGCCCTCCTTATGGGTGAGGGATGGTAGATGCGGTGCCCATGAGCAGACTTCAGCAAAATGCTTAAGATTGCTGGTGGTCCTTTGCATTGTGTCTGTATTTTTGAATTGACAAAAATTATATGTATTTATCATGCCCATCTTTTGAAACCTGTGTGCATGTAGAAGGGTTAAATCAAGCTGACTAACACGTGTTCTCTCAGTCTTAGCATTTTTTGTGGGGTGAACGCAAAATCTATGCTTAGTGAATTTCCAAGAATAAAATACACTGTTATCGACTGAACTGGGCATGATACACTGGGCATGACTGAAAGTTTGTGTCTTATCCTGCATCTCCTAGCTCCTCCTCCTCCCTCCCTCCTCCTCTCTGCTTTGATGAACTTGCCTTGTTTAGATTCTGCATCTTAGTGAGCTGTAGTATTTGTTTTTTCTGTACCTCTCTTATTTCAAGTAGTGTATAAGGTCTCCAGGTCCGTGTTATTCCGGTGACAGGATGTCCCAGTAAAGACTACAGTACTGTGCTGTGTGGCGTATGCACTCACCATGGGACACCCCAGTCCTTTTTCCATCCCCCTGTGGACACTGAGGCTGGTTGCATACCTTGGCCTCCATGAATGGCGCTGCCGTGCGTGTGGTCATAACACATACCTTTCTTTGCTCTCCTGCAGGACAATCATGGAAACGGCATGCACCTTGGTATTTTCTTTATGGGGATTTTTGTGAGAAACAGAATTGGAAGACAAGCAGTGATATACAGGTAATCTGCCCCTCCTTTCTTCCCCAGCAGAGATGGTGGGTGGTGCCATTGACTGCTGTCATGCAAATGAGTTAAGAGGTACACTGGAAGTGATGGCAGTTCTCAATTCAGATCAGTTGCCTTCCTAGGGATTAATGCAGCTAGGGAAAAATGTATCTTGCTTTTCCTGGAGGCTTGACTTCTTCCCCGCTGGCTGTGGAAAGCAGGTAGTTGAAGCCTGACCTTGAGTGTGGTAGAGCCAGCTCTGCTGTCCGTCTGGCTGACTGCCTCTGTTGGGACTGTCCCTGGCTATTTAGAGCCAAACCAGATTCTTCCCATAGCCACCTGACTGCATGTACTGGACAAGTACAAGCTAATCTTTATATTAACAAAAGGGGGTTACTTGTAAACATGTATCTTAGGAAACAATTGGTGTATAATTATGAATGAAAAGATCTGAGAGGTTTTTCCTGGTACTTGGACACTTTAACCTTCTTTTCTACTTAACACAAGTAGTCTCTGTACAGGGGTGTGGTGAATGCCTCCCCAACCCCAGCAGTCCACCCGTGAACTGACTCTGCATGGGTGTCAGTTGATTCTATGATAGTAGCAGGCTCATTCTGTGTACCAGGGCAGGCTGACTGACAGACTCTTACAAGGTACTCTAAGCTCTTCACAAGAAATGACTCTTTTAAACTTTGGAGCAATCACCTGATTCAGGACCAGTTCTGGAGTATTTATTAACATTTAAAAAGACCACACCGGGTGTAGCAAGTTCAGATCTGGATATTTTCATTCCAGAGTTCACACTATTCACTGTTACTGTTGTGTTCTGCTGGTGGCTTATCTATACCGCTCTCCCCTCTGTGTGTATCTACAGCACTCTCACTTTCTCTCTCTCTCTCTCTCTCTCTCTCTCTCTCTCTCTCTCGCTCTCGCTCTCGCTCTCGCTCTCGCTCTCTCTCTCTCTCACTCTCTCGCTCTGTGTGTGTGTATCTGATAAGCAGAGCCATGCATCTGTGACACATTGATAAAGAACAGCTCTGGGAGGCTAAGACACACCTCTTCCCGGATAGGAAACGTCCACACATCAGTCAAGACTGTCATTTTGAGACAGTTTTCAACCCAAAACATCCCGAATGGCTTTTCTCACCCAGATTCCCACTCTGTCATTATTTTTATGATTTCTTCTCTTTGCTCTTTGAAGCTAGAATGAGGATAGAGATCTTTGGGACTTAGACAAAAGTTTAAGAGCTAGGGAGATACAGCTTAGTTAGTAAAGTGCTTGTAAAGACCTCTACCCCCAGAACCCAATAAAGACTGCTGGGAGTGGTGGCACATGTTTGTAATCTCAGTGCTGGAAGGTGGGGACAGTTGGATCCTTGGGACTTGCTCACCAGTTAGCCTAGCCTACTTGCTAAGTTACAGGCCAGAGAGAGACCTTGTCTCAGAGAATAAGGTGGATGATGACTAAGGAATGAACATAAGGCTCTCCTCTGGCCTCCACATGTACACACACCACATACATGAATTTGCACATATACATGACTTTGCACATACATTCACACCTGTACACATGAACGTGTGTGTGCACACACCGTCCTAGTTTGCTCTCTTGTGCTATGATAAAACATTGACTGAAAGCAACTTGGGGAGGAAAGGCGTAGGTAGCTTACACTTCCCTGTTACAGTCTAACGTTGAGGGAAGTCGAAGCAGGAACTCAGGTCAGGAACCTGGAGGCAGGAGCTGAAGCAGAGACCATGGAGGAACGCTGCTCACTGGCTTGCTCAGCTGCTTTTCTTACATAGCCCAGGCTACCTGCCCAGGGATGGCACCACCCACAGTGGGCTGCTACATCAATAACAGTTAAGAAAATACCTCACAGGCACGCCCACAGGCCAGTCTGATGGAGACAGTACCTCTGCTCTGGTTCCCTCTTCCCAAGTGACTCTAATTTGTGTCAAGTTGACAGAATCTATTCATCACACACAAAGAACAAACTCTTGAGTTTGGGACATAGTGAACCCCGCATACCTGCACAAAACGTGACTTTGCAGAGCTGGCCACCGTAAACCTTTGTGCCCATTCACAGCCAGCTGGCTGTTTTGTCCACCAGTTCTTCAAAGTGAAATCAGGGCCTTGGTCTCCCTGTAAGTGCAAAGTCGACAGGCCCTGCACGGCAGCTGCTGAGCCGGTACGGACGCAAACAGCCGGCTGTGTGTTCCGTTCCCTTAGGAGCTGCGTCCAGGAATTTTTGCATATCTGGAACTGACCCCTGCTACACTGACATGTAGGGTGAAGTCCTGGGGGGTGGCGATGAATGTCTCCAGTTTGGGCAGCTTCTTTTTGGAAGAGAAGCTGGAGGAAAGCTGATGCCTCCTGGCTTCTGAGAACCTTGCTGAGGTAGCTAAAGCCAGGTGTCTGTGAGGGAAGCTGTGTAAGCCCAGCACATGGAGAGAGGACCCTGGCACTGTGCGCAACACGACTGTTCTGGAACAGACAGATGATTTGGGGGTAGCTGTGGGAACCCCAGATAAAGTGCTTACCTGTGCCTGACTGAATAGTTTCTCATTGCTGTCTAAAGTGCCTCTGCTCTGAGGAGGAACAAAACTCTTCTGCCTTAAGATGTAAGAATCCTACTTTAAACAGGCAACCCAGGTACTCCCTGGGAGATGCTGTGGTGCCTTGTGGATCTGAAGCAATGCCCTTTTGCTGAGCTCCCTCCCTCCCCCAACTTCGTTTTTTTCAGCCAACATGTTTTGAGAGCTCTGTCAAGAGACTGGGCTCAGGGCATGAGCTACACTCATGAAGACACAGTCCCTACTGGGTTGTGTGTCCTGTGGCCTAACAGGGTCTTGTAAGAGATCTAGTCCTAGAAGTTAAAACTTGCATCACAGCGTGGTGGAGGGAGAGGTCCAGCAGGAGCTTTGTCTTCAGGTGAACGGCAAAGAATGAAAGGCTTGAGAGAAAGCAACTTCAGAGTTAAGTCTTAAATGAGCCAGGGCCTGTGGTTGGAGCTCTTTGTACAGGCTTTGCCTACAAGTAAGAAACCCTGTACTCAATCTTCTGTACTGCATATAAGCAACGCTTAGAGTGGTGCGCAGCTGTTATCCTCGAAAACCGGAGGTGGAGGCAGGAGGATCGGAAATTCAAGGTCAGCCTCAGCTCCATCGTGCATCTGAGCCAGCCTGGGGTGCTTGAAGCCGTGTCTTCAAATAAATAACATCAGGGAGGGGGGTGTACAGTGAGTGTGGTGGAGTGAGAGGTGTGAGTGGGGAGCTGTAAGACGGGGCATCACCTGATGGGTAGACAGTGAAAAGATGGCCAAGAACTGGTCCAAGCAGAATGGGAAGCCACCACTTACTTTCCCTTGTCTGGTACCCATTTCTGGGACTAAGTCTCTCCCAAGACCCTGGCAGGCCATAGGCCCCATATCCTTGTAGGGACTCTGTCTTCATGTGTGTGTTCTATTTACCATGCCCAGTCTCTTGCACACCCATTTTAGATGGGTCTCTATGAGGACAGGGAAGGGAAGTGTGTGTGTGTGTGTGTGTGTGTGTGTGTGTGTAGATCACTAACACACAGGCACATTTAACAGCTATTGAGACCTTTTCCAAAATGGCAGTGAATCTGAAGTGTACTGTATAGTATTGAACATACCTTTAGCTTTGCTGTGAGGTGATTTAAAAGCATAGGGGTCACAGCAAATGCATTGCCAGCTCAGACACGTGGGAGGAAGAGTTTCGAAAGTTGTAGTCATGACGAAAACTATCTCATGAATGTCAGTTTGCAAATATACTTAAATAGAACTTTACTGTGTGAATTGATTCTTATTGCATTTCTTTTAGTTTTCTACTTTGAGAGATGGAATATATTTAGCTTTTGTTACAAAGGAAGGATAGTTAAATCATAATTGTAGGATGAGAATTTCTCACACCTTGTGGGGAATGTGTGGGCCATCTTCAGGCAAGCCTGGTCTCATTTCTTTGTTCCAGGTGGAATGACGTTGGGAGCATCACCCACAGCAAGGCGGCCATCCTGCTGGAGCTGATTGACAAGGAGGAGACTGCACTCTTCCACACAGTGAGTCCAGGAGCTAACAGTCCCTTGCCTCATTCTTCATGTCTCTTTATACAGGCATGTCCAGCCTTCTGACATTGTGACACATGGTTGTCATCTGAAAGTCCACAGTCAAGAATCGTTCAGTTGAGTCATAGAACCCCCCCCAATCTCTGACAGTTTACAGTTTTGTGTTGGACCTCGTCCAAAGGGACTCAGGCTCATGTAGGCCACAGCTATAGAATCAGTGCAGTTGAAGAGACCCTTTCTGATCTTGCCTGGTGCTTCATGACTCCTTGGGAGTGATGAATAGACTGCTGGCTTCTGTTCCACCACGAAGGTTTGTCTAACACGCTAAGTACCGTGGTCACAGTCTTTCTCAAGTGATCCCTGATTATGTCACATTGCATTCTCTGTTGCTGGATGGCCTGAGTTTTCTGGGCATCTCATAGCCCACACTTTGTCTGGAGTTGGGGAACTGTCTATCAAGTCCCTTCTTGAGCCCCTTCCCCTCATCTCCTTATATCTGGTTGACTGACATTGGTGTTACTTCTAGGCTTTTCCTTGATTCAGTTATTTGTTTTGAAAACACTTGGTTGAAAGCCAGGCATGGCGGTGCACCCCTTTAGTCCCAACACTTTAGTCCCAGCCAGAGGCGGGCGGATCTCTGTGAGTTCAAGGCTAGTCTAGTCTACATAGTGGGTTCCAGCCCAGCTGAGGCTACTGGGAGACCCTGTCTCAAAAAGACTAAAAGCAAAAAGCAAAAACCAAACAAACAAAAAAACCCCACTTGGTTGAGAATTAGGAAAGGACCTGTCAGGTCATCGCTACAGACCCAGTACTTTGGATGTGAAGAATTCTTGAGCAGATGGCCATTTCTGCCCCTCTTTCTGGGCCTCGGTGGCATGGTTGCCATTGGAACCGCACAGGTTGAGTCCCTTCCTGGCCCAGCATGTCATTTTGCACTTGAGGTGAAGGAGAAGGGGATGAGTCTTTGCATAGAGCAATCTTTGTGAAAAGCATGTCTAATCAAATGATGTTGGGCTTCTTTTCTCTCTGCCTCTTCTTTTCCAAGGATGATATCGAAAACGCCAAGTATATTTCTCGGTTATTTACAACACGGCACAAATTTTACAAACAAAACCAGATCTGCACTGAGTAAGTAAATGTTTAGTTCAACTGCCTCTGTAGATGGCTTTGACCAAGTACATCATGTGCTTCCTCCAAGTTGTGGGTCCCTGTTTCTACCCGCTCTTTTCCCTTGATGCTTATAGAAGGGGAAGAAGGAGGCTAAAGCCAGGCAGGAGTGCAAGGCCTTTAACGATGAAGACTGTCTACTGCAGTCCATGAGCCTAGAGAGAAAATCACTCACAAATTGACTGCGAATACTTAACTACCTGGATGGGTGGGCCACATCAGTGCCTTTCCGACACTCGGGTCTGAGTTCGGAAGAACCGAGCTGTTCCCAATTTGCCCAGGTGCCTCTCTGTGTTAGATGTGGAGTGTGTTCAGAAGTGGGGAGTGGGGTGAGGAGCCAGCTTAAAAGGGAAGATGCTGTCTCCGTGCTCGGTCTGTTCCCGCTCACAGTTGGCTAACCCTGCGTGTGCTCCTGGGTCGTGCCATCTGACTGCAAATGAGAGGCCAGGGTAATTAGAGGGGGATTTGGAAGGCACTCCGAGATGGCATGCATCTGTGTGTCTTTTTAATTTAGCGGGGAAATAAGGATGATAAAGCAGCATCTGATTGAGGGCACTTCCTCGTGGCCTGACCTTGGAGATGGCGTGCCGGGGGCCCACTCTGTTGTCTTTACTCTGGTTGCCTTCAAACACTGTTCCTCAGCAGAGCACATTTGCCACTTGGGCCCCCAAGGTGTTTAATTTTGATTCAAAGAGCATCAGGGATGTAAATGGAGAGACGAGCTGCCTTTCCACTCCCACAGTGGGTACATCCAAGCGGGGCAGAATATTGCCGGGAGGCAGATGCCGCTGGAGAAGGCAGCTTTCAGAACTGGAGCCCCAGGTCAAGGCAGACTTTTTGCCCCTCCATACAGTGTAGGCTCTTTCAAACCGGGCACCAGTTGGTCACCACTTGGGTCTAAAAGAACATCTGTTAGTCTAGGCCCACCAGCAAAGCTAGCAAAGGTAGGTCAGAAGGGCTGAGCTGGGACATGGCATGTCTTCTTATGCACATGTTGTCACATGTACGCCATACATACATGTTCTGTTCTGCTCTTCCCTTGACCTTTGGAGGGTGGCCTTGATGTCAACAAGAATTCTGTAGTTGACTTCTGTAGAGTAGATTAAAAACCCATTTGAGAGGAGGATTTCCCTACAGTCTTCTGTTGTTAACTATTTCTCAGCAAATGGCTTCGCTGCTGTGTTTACTAAGTATTTGCATTTCTTTTGTCGCCTTTTCTAGTATCAGTAAACGTCATATTATCCTGAAAACCAACAAGAATTTCTTCTGTGCTAGCCCTGCCCTTTTTCATCCTAAGAGGGCTCTGGAGGTTCCTAACCTTACCTCTCCCCACATATATGTTAAACTCTATGTAATTCAAGGCTAGAGCATCCCTCTAGAGTTTTCTGAGCCTCTTCATGAAGGAGGACTACCTTCTTCTCCGGGGCTCTCTACTCTCTCGCTCCTAAGGTGTGCCCTGGCAGAGTCACCTGGCACTTGTCACCTGGACCCTTCTCTCCAGGAATCTCATTCCTGTGCCTTTGACCTGGGGAGAAAGAGTGGGAGGAACATGTTTCACATGGGGTTGATAATGTTGCATTTGTCCAGTTGTTAAAAACATTCCAACCTTACTGGGTTTTTTCCCTGCTGTCCTACCAGAGCAAAGATACTTTTACCAACCAGGTAGAATGGGTGAGATCACAAAATAAGAGAGTCCCTTCAGTTGAGGAAATTATTTTACCCTGGTGAGAATTCTGCATCTTGTTTTGTTGTTTTATTTTGTTATTTAAATGTTGGGGGCCAGAGAAAACACTGGCATTCGGGGCACCCCATGCGTCCTGCAGTATCCATTCTCAAGACTTGATGCTGTTCCCAATCGTGCTCACCCCTCTGTGAGTTGTGGCTGTTAAAGCCATGTCGATCTCTCTGTAAAGAGGTCCTGGGCTGCATATAGAGCTCAGTTATGGAGTGCTTGCCGAGCACGCACTGGCTTTGACCCCCTAGTACTAGGACAGAGAGTTTTAAAAAAGCAATTTTGAAAATATTTATAGTACGTATTATCTTTATAGGCTCACACTGAAAAATACTTTCTCTGTTTTGCAATTTTATGTTAACTGGAAGCACTTTGAAAATATTTTTATTATGAGAGATCTTGCACACAACACAGGCACACGGTGTACATTGTTTTTAGAAATGTGTGCGGTGGTGATGTTTTCCAGCCCTTTTGTTTGTTTGTTTCTCTCATAATATTTCTTTGGAGGTAAGTGTCATTCTTTTAGTATTAGTGGGCAAAGCATTGCAGAAACATTGTATGTGCCAAGCACCCTGGGCGTGATGAGAATAAAATGGTATTAAGATTGTGCTTAGTATCTGTGCCCAGAAGTGAGTGGTGTGTGTATTTGGAGATAAGTCTCAGTATCTTGTCTATTTCCCATTCTCTCTTCCCCTGTCTTTCTCATTTTTTTTGTATCTGATCAGTGATAATGGTTGCTCTTTTTTCAATTTTCATGTAGACAGTCAAATTCTCCACCCCCTATCAGACGCCAGCCCACCTGGAGCCGGTCCTCACTGGTATGTACAGAACAAACCCTTGGTCATGGGTCTCCCTGTCGGGATGTAGGGTTGTATTAATGGCTGTAGGGGAGTTGATTAGGATGTCATGAGCCAGAGAGATTTGCTGAGAGTAGTCACGTGCCGGAGGTGTGTGGGAAATCCTTTGTGTCCCCTGTACCATCCAGGCCCCTCCCTTCTCATAGCGTTCAAGATGACCCTGTCTTATTCTGGTCCAGAGTGACCATCTTTACCCTTAGTCTACACCCAGTACCTCAGTCTACACCCACTGCCTCAGCCTGCACTGACCACCCTCAGTCTGCACCCACTGCCTCAGTCTATACCCACTACCTCAGTCTACACCCACTGCCTCAGTCTATACCCACTGCCTCAGTCTATACCCACTGCCTCAGTCTATACCCACTGCCTCAGTCTATACCCACTGCCTCAGTCTATACCCACTGCCTCAGTCTATACCCACTGCCTCAGTCTATACCCACTGCCTCAGTCTATACCCACTGCCTCAGTCTACACCCACTGCCTCAGTCTATACCCACTGCCTCAGTCTATACCCACTGCCTCAGTCTATACCCACTGCCTCAGTCTATACCCACTGCCTCAGTCTATACCCACTGCCTCAGTCTATACCCACTGCCTCAGTCTATACCCACTGCCTCAGTCTATACCCACTGCCTCAGTCTATACCCACTGCCTCAGTCTATACCCACTGCCTCAGTCTATACCCACTGCCTCAGTCTATACCCACTGCCTCAGTCTATACCCACTGCCTCAGTCTATACCCACTGCCTCAGTCTATACCCACTGCCTCAGTCTATACCCACTGCCTCAGTCTATACCCACTGCCTCAGTCTATACCCACTGCCTCAGTCTATACCCACTGCCTCAGTCTATACCCACTGCCTCAGTCTATACCCACTGCCTCAGTCTATACCCACTGCCTCAGTCTATACCCACTGCCTCAGTCTATACCCACTGCCTCAGTCTATACCCACTGCCTCAGTCTATACCCACTGCCTCAGTCTATACCCACTGCCTCAGTCTATACCCACTGCCTCAGTCTATACCCACTGCCTCAGTCTATACCCACTGCCTCAGTCTATACCCACTGCCTCAGTCTATACCCACTGCCTCAGTCTATACCCACTGCCTCAGTCTATACCCACTGCCTCAGTCTATACCCACTGCCTCAGTCTATACCCACTGCCTCAGTCTATACCCACTGCCTCAGTCTATACCCACTGCCTCAGTCTATACCCACTGCCTCAGTCTATACCCACTGCCTCAGTCTATACCCACTGCCTCAGTCTATACCCACTGCCTCAGTCTATACCCACTGCCTCAGTCTATACCCACTGCCTCAGTCTATACCCACTGCCTCAGTCTATACCCACTGCCTCAGTCTATACCCACTGCCTCAGTCTATACCCACTGCCTCAGTCTATACCCACTGCCTCAGTCTATACCCACTGCCTCAGTCTATACCCACTGCCTCAGTCTATACCCACTGCCTCAGTCTATACCCACTGCCTCAGTCTATACCCACTGCCTCAGTCTATACCCACTGCCTCAGTCTATACCCACTGCCTCAGTCTATACCCACTGCCTCAGTCTATACCCACTGCCTCAGTCTATACCCACTGCCTCAGTCTATACCCACTGCCTCAGTCTATACCCACTGCCTCAGTCTATACCCACTGCCTCAGTCTATACCCACTGCCTCAGTCTATACCCACTGCCTCAGTCTATACCCACTGCCTCAGTCTATACCCACTGCCTCAGTCTATACCCACTGCCTCAGTCTATACCCACTGCCTCAGTCTATACCCACTGCCTCAGTCTATACCCACTGCCTCAGTCTATACCCACTGCCTCAGTCTATACCCACTGCCTCAGTCTATACCCACTGCCTCAGTCTATACCCACTGCCTCAGTCTATACCCACTGCCTCAGTCTATACCCACTGCCTCAGTCTATACCCACTGCCTCAGTCTATACCCACTGCCTCAGTCTATACCCACTGCCTCAGTCTATACCCACTGCCTCAGTCTATACCCACTGCCTCAGTCTATACCCACTGCCTCAGTCTATACCCACTGCCTCAGTCTATACCCACTGCCTCAGTCTATACCCACTGCCTCAGTCTATACCCACTGCCTCAGTCTATACCCACTGCCTCAGTCTATACCCACTGCCTCAGTCTATACCCACTGCCTCAGTCTATACCCACTGCCTCAGTCTATACCCACTGCCTCAGTCTATACCCACTGCCTCAGTCTATACCCACTGCCTCAGTCTATACCCACTGCCTCAGTCTATACCCACTGCCTCAGTCTATACCCACTGCCTCAGTCTACACTCACTGCCTCAGTCTGCACCCACCGCCTCAGTCTGCACCCACTGCCCACCCTCAGTCTACCCCCACGGCCTCAGTCTGCCCCCACTGCGTCAGTCTGCACCCACTGCCTCAGTCGGCACCCACAGCCTCAGTCTACACCCACTGCCTCAGCCTGCACCCACTGCCTCAGTCTGCACTGACCACCCTCAGTCTACACCCACTACCTCAGTCTACACCCACTGCCTCAGTCTCCACCCACTGCCTCAGTCTGCACCCACTGCCTCAGTCTACACCCACTGCGTCAGTCTGCACCCACTGCCTCAGTCTGCACCCACTGCCCACCCTCAGTCTACACCCACTACCTCAGTCTACACCCACTGCCTCAGTCTACACCCACTGCCTCAGTCTGCACCCACTGCTTGTCTTCAGCACTTGCTCATTTGCTCTGGTTGCATGACTTCAGTTGTGAGCTCTGTGGGTTTCTGCTGCGTCCATTGCCACAGCAGAGTTTAACCAACTAGTCAGAAAATGCTTCCTAACTGAATGACAGTTGAATGAGTCCAGTTAATGGGCTCAGAATTTTCAATGGTTGGGACGCTTTTTGAATTTTCAGTCATTAGCCAGTGTAGTTTAAGCTGATCCACACTGCACCCAACTTTGAGTTGCTTTTAATATTTTTACAAAAGCTATTTCGCACGCTGGAGGTATAGCACAGCTGTTAAAGGCTAAGGCTGACAACCAAAACGTAAAAAAGCTATTTCCCTTGTGATGTGAATGAGCTTTTCTCCATCTGTGAATTCTGTCTTAGGCTGTTATATTTGAGGGTCACTCGGGCAGTAGAAGAGACTGAGGACTTGTTTTTTCTTAACATTTTCTGCTTATTTTGCCACAATTCTGTCATTTTAGGGTTGACATTTTACAGACAGAACAGACTTGTGGCCTTTCACTTTTCTTGGCGAACAGTTCCTTTGAGTGGGTAGACAGGAGCACCAAAGTGTTCTCCATGTCCAGTGCACCCCAGCACATCTTTAGTTTCTCCTTTAATAAGTTTTGAAGCCCAAATATGGCACGAACTTAGATTCTAGCGCTGAGCCACATGGGAGTTCCTGGGTCCATGTGGCTGTTGCTGGTGTCAGTGTGATGCAGTCCCTGCCTTCTGGTCCTCTGATTTGGAGATGGAGGACACCCTGTGCTTCCCTGGAGTACCAGGACACTTAGTGGCTCTGATGTCTTCATTCTTCCCGTCTCTGCTGGCGCAGGTCTCCTCTCCTTTGTACGTTCAGTGTCTTCTTTACTGAGATCCTGTTTCGCTTGTGTCCATCAACCCCAATGATGGGCCATGTTTGCGGGCGACCCTAGGATTTGTTCGTGTCCAAATTATCCAGAGAAAATGTAGGCAGAGCTCCCATTTCTTACTTGGGTGAATGTCTCCAGGGAGCCTGATTCTGAGCTCCATCTTCATCCTACCCACTCGCCAAGAGTTCCTCATGGCGTGAGACCAGTGTCTTCAGGTTTCCTTGCCAATTTCTGTTTCTCTCTTTCTCTTATGATGCCTATGTTATGGCATTTAACTTATTTCAATATTCACAGATCTGGCAAAAGTTGAATAATAGATTGAAATAGAAATGAAATAAAGGTAGGGACATAGCTCAGTGGTAGAGCCTTTGCCTCGTGTGTGAGAGGTGAGAGGCCGTGGGTGGTTCCATCCCCAACACCCATCCCCAGAGAAAAAAAAGAGATTAAATAACATAGCTAGAAGTGATGTTTGAAGGATTAGCTGTCATTGCCTTTGTCCTCATATGTATGCCAGCTCATAGAATCACTTCATGAGTTAAAAAAACAAAAGCTGGGGGAGACAGTGAGCCATGGCCCCTTGCCTTGTGTTTCCATGTCCCATACAAATTCTTGTTTTTTTAAAAAAAAACATTAAAACTGATGGTCCTACTTCGGAATGTTTTAGGTGAATTTTGTATTAACAATAAAAAGAATGTATTTTGAAATGGCAAGTCTCAAGGTGATCGATCCACCTAGACGTGTAGGAATTCCTTTCTCCTCTGAGTCCTGTAGATTTTAGAACCCTTGTTTTCATGACCTGCTTTGCAACGCGTTTGGAGCCTGAGCTTTACAGAAATGATACAAGTGTGAATTCACTCATCCCTGACTGCCCGTGAAAAGGTGCACAGACACTGGGACCCTGCCAGTGTCCAGCTCCTGGCTTGGTATCTGCCAATGAAGCATTCTCTTTTTTCTGCTGAATCAACAATTCCTTTGAGACAGGGTCTCACTGTGTAGCCCTGTCTGACCCAGATCTCACTGTGTATACCAGGTTGGCCTTGAACTCACAGAGATCTGTCTGCCCCCGCCTCATAAGTGCTGGAATCAAAGGCATGTGCTGCTGCCTCTGGCTTCTGAGTCAGTGCTACTAAATAATAGCCATGAGGCTCATAGAAATAGGAGCTGGATCATCCTGTTTAGGGTTTAGTGGCTTAGAAAACTTCATGGTTTTCTTTTTTTCCTCTCATATCAAATATTTAAGTTTTACCCTCTACCACAGCAGGAAGTGGTTCATTTCAAACTGAGCTAAATGGCCATGTTGAAGAGTCAGTAGGGAAGATCCTGCCTTGGTGGGGAGGGTGTTGATGGTGGGTGAGATTCCCTGTCTGACCTTTGTTGTACATCACCTTGACCACACCCTCACAAGTGCTATATTTTGGATTTCTGTGTACATTCACCATGGGGCCCAGCTTTAACATGACCCCTGGACTTGGTTGAGCATCCTGTGGAGCTGTGAACTAGAGTCATGGGCTCTGCTGCGTCGAGGGGCTTGTGGGTCCAGGAGGGAGCCAGCCTTGAATAGAACAAAGTAGCTTTCCTCTTTGCTCTTTCTTACATGGGTTATTCATCATGATCTACCCGTTCTAACTGTACTTGTTAAGGTCCAGAGAACTCAGCAGGTGCATGAGAGTGATGGTAAATAGATGCACCCCTCTCTCTGACCTTGAGCCCACCCCAGTGTTTCTCCTATAGCGTCACTGTAAGATGGGAACTTGGATGGGGGTGGTTTGGCGGGGGGCAGGCAGAGCAGCTGCAGTGTGCATCCTTGCCTGGGCTGGCTCCTCAGAGTCTCCCAAGTGTTGGTGTGGCTTCCCCAGCTCTGTCTCCTCTGTTGCAGCCAAGGCAGCAGCCATACATCCTGCCTCCCATGCATGTGCAGTGCGGCGAGCACTACTCGGAAACTCACACTTCACAAGGTATTGTGCTCCCCCTACCCCCCAGCAAAACAAAAGGGTTGCTATTGGGAAGCCGTGACGGAGCTGCTTCTAAGTGAGGGTGATGGTTTCACTTTAATTTTGTCATTGTCTAAGGGATGGCAGCCAGCAGCTTTATTTGTGAAAGGCTTAGTGTATCAGCTGAGCCTAAAAGAAAAATCCCCCAGATTTGGCTGACCAGGGAGGTGACCAGTGGACGCCTCCTTGTTTGTCTTCTCCAATTCCAAGTGGGCCTAAGCTGGAGAGTGATGGGCCAGCCCCCCCGAGTGCACCCACCCTCAGTGCCAGCCCCCCCGAGTTCACCCACCCTCAGTGCCAGCCCCCCCGAGTGCACCCACCCTCAGTGCCAGCCTCAGGAGCTTGGAGCAGCTTTGTGGTGGTGATAACTGAGAAAAAAACCTCCCAGCCGTCTTTCAGCTTTTCCTCATCTTCCCTCAGGCCCCTTCTCAGTGGACAACACACAACTAATGTGTAGACGAGGTAGCAATCTAAGGACTTGCTGTAGTGTCTCATTTAATCCTCAAAATAAGCCCAGGGTGCTACTGTTTCTGTTTTCTAGATATGGAAACAGGGAGACTGTGGTTAAGGGTGGAATTTGGATAGGAACCTCCCCCATCTCGTGTGTGTGTGTGTGTGTGTGTGTATGTGGTATATGTATGTATGGAGACCAGAGGTCCATGCTGGGCATCTTTCTTTCAGTTTCTACCTTTTGAAACAGTCCTCTACTGACCCCTGCACTGACTGGTGAGCTAGAGTGATTGTCCAGTGAGCTCTGGAAACCCGCCTGTCTCTGCCCCCAACACTGGGGTTACAGGTGCGAGTGATAACGCTCAGCATTTTTACATAGGTGAGGCTCCGATATCAGGTCCGCGTGCCTATGAAGCAGGTACTTTACCAACTGAGCCATCTCCCCAGCCAAGCTCATCACTTTTCATTAGTGTACTGACCACATTTCAAAAGGAGATGATTGAAAACTTGGGTGCTGGCATATTAAATGAGTTACAAATGTCTGTGACCTGCTCCTCGGGGACTATTCTGAAGCCCCTGCAATTTGAAAGTTTAAGCACAAAATCTAAGGCAAGACCGTGTAGTACCAGGTATATTTTATAAGCAGCCTGGCAGTGTTGCGGCCCATCGGGAGCAGAGGGCCAGACCCCACTGGTGGTGGGCGGCCACTCACGCCTTGATCTCCGTTCTCCACATTTCTTTGCATTTGTGGATCACTTGTGTCCACACCTCCTTTTCTGACAATCGGATGTTTTTAAAGATTTACTCATCTTTATTTTACTGTATGAGTGTTTGCCTGCATGTATGTACCACAGTGTGCCTGGTGCCCACGGAGGCCAGAGGGTGGTTCAGATCTCATGGAAATGGAGTTACACATGGTTTTGAGCCACCATGTAGGTGCTAGAAAGCAAACCCAGGACCTCTGTAAGAGCGGCCAGCGCTCTTGAGCCCTGAGCGTCTCTCCAGCCCAAGGTGGAAGCGTCTAATCACCATTCTGTTTTGAATCTTTCCTTCGTCTCCCTCTGCTCGGGAGACACTGTGGCTGTAGTTCAGCGTATTGGCACAAGTCTGGTCTGGGGTGCCTTTGAACGCACGAGAGGAACACTAGACGCTGGGAGTTGGCCCTACTTTAGAAAACTGGCTTTTGTAGCTCTTGGGAGATAGTCAGTAGCTAAGGCACTTGCAGTGCAAGCTTGAAGACCAGAGTTTGGAAGCCCAGAACCCGCATGAATGCTGGGTGAGCACAGAGCCCCCCCTTAGAAGGCTTGGCTGGAAAGACCGTCCATATTGACCAGCTCAGAGTGTGACTGACAGAACCCTGCCTCATTGAATCAAGTAGAAGAGCAATGAAGGATGATTCCTGATATGAACCTGAGGCATACACACACGTACATGCACCCACACACATGCAAACATGCATATACATATGTGAACGTGGGTTTTAAAAATCCATTTTTGTAGCTGTTTAGGTTTTTCTTTTGACTGTCTTTCATTTTTACTGGAATTGACTCCAAAGATGGGGCTTGGGGGGCTTCAGGAATGCATGTTGGGGTCCTATTACGGCAAAATCGAAAATGGACCTGGCAGCCCCCTTTTACGCACTTCTTTTTGGTGCTCTGTAATGTGTTCTTTACACAGAGATCTTCATCCAGGATGCCAGCTCTTCTGTGGCATACTCGGGGGTGGGGGTCGTGGGGCTTCACTTTTTATGGTTTATTTAAGTTGTCACCCCGGGGTGGTGTGATGGTTCACACTCCTCTGTTTCACTTCCTGCAGACAGCATCTTCCATGGGAATGAAGAAGCCTTGTATTGCAATTCTCACAACAGCCTGGACTTAAATTACTTAAATGGTACGATCACCAATGGCAGCGTGTGCAGCGTTCACAGTGTCAACTCCCTCAGCTGCTCGCAAAGCTTCATCCAGGCTTCTCCCGTGTCCTCCAACCTCAGCATCCCCGGGAGCGACATCATGCACGCCGACTACATCCCCAGCCACCGGCACAGTGCCATCATCGTGCCATCCTACAGGCCTACCCCAGATTACGAGACAGTCATGCGGCAGATGAAGAGGGGGCTGATGCATGCAGACAGCCACAGCCAGTCTCTGCGCAACCTAAACATCATCAATACCCACGCCTACAACCAGCCGGAGGAGCTGGTGTACAGCCAGCCCGAGATGCGGGAGCGGCATCCGTACACTGTCTCGTATATGCCCCAGGGGAGCTATGGTCACAAACTTGTTAGTCCATCCGACCAGATGAACCCCAAGAACAACATGGTGCCCAGCAAGCCGGGGGCCAGTGCCATCTCACACACAGTGAGCACTCCAGAGCTGGCCAACATGCAGCTCCAAGGGACTCACAGCTACAGTACAGCGCACATGCTCAAGAACTATCTCTTCAGGCCACCGCCACCCTACCCTCGGCCCCGTCCTGCCACCAGCACCCCAGACCTTGCCAGCCACCGCCATAAGTATGTCAGCGGCAGCAGCCCTGACCTGGTGACACGGAAGGTCCAGCTGTCTGTGAAGACCTTCCAGGAGGACAGCTCTCCCGTGGTCCATCAGTCTCTGCAGGAGGTGAGCGAGCCCCTTACGGCCACCACCAAGCACCACGGCACGGTGAACAAGCGCCACAGCCTGGAGGTGATGAACAGTATGGTGCGGGGCATGGAAGCCATGACTCTGAAGTCACTCAACATCCCCATGGCTCGTCGTAACACGCTTCGGGAGCAGGGCCCGCCCGAGGAGGCAGGTGGTCATGAACTGCACGGACTCCCTCAGTATCACCACAAGAAGACGTTCTCAGATGCCACCATGCTGATCCACAGCAGCGAGAGCGAGGAGGAGGAGGAGGAGGCCCCCGAGGCCATGCCCCGCATCCCTGCGCTGCAGGAGAAGGTGGAGTACAGTGCCCAGCTGCAGGCCGCCCTAGCTAGGATTCCCAACAGGCCCCCGCCTGAGTACCCTGGGCCAAGGAAGAGTGTCAGCAACGGGGCACTGAGGCAAGACCAGGGGACCCTCCTTCCTGCTGCAGCCAGGGCCAGGGTGCTGAGGCACGGGCCCCCCAAGGCCCTCAGTGTCTCCCGGACTGAGCAGCTGGCCATCAACGGGGCCTCTCTGGGCCCCTCCATCTCGGAGCCTGACCTGACCAGCGTGAAGGAGCGGGTCAAGAAAGAACCTGTGAAGGAGAGGCCCGTGTCAGAGATGTTCTCCCTGGAGGACAGCATTATAGAGAGAGAAATGATGATTAGGGTGAGTGTCCCCACCAGGGCCTTGATGGCAGGGAGCACAGGAGCTGGAAGCCTTGAGGAGGGAGGCTTCAGGGAGCATGTCGGGTTTTAAACGGTAGTGGGCATTACAGTGGGGAGTAGCGATGTCACCAGATACTGGGTTTGTCCTTTCAGATAACACCTTCCATTCCATGTTCATTTATGACTTTTGTCAGGTGGACGTGGTACTAAGTGTTGGAACTGAGTTAGAGTGTTACCAGGCCCAGTGTCTTGTTGCTAATGGAGGACTCAAACTTCCAGTTATGTGAGCAGGTAGAGACTTGCCTCCCTACATCTCCTAATGCTTTTGGTTATTACTTTGTTTTGTTTTATATTTTTGAGGGCAACCAAGCATTTCTTCCCTCCTCCCCCGATTACATAATAAAAAGACAATAACTCCACAGAACATGCCTTCTGTGTAGTTCTGCATGTCAAAGTAGCTTGTCACATTGTCTGGATTGTCACAAGCCCGGCTTTATATTCAGATTTTCTCTCAATGATGATTACCACAAAGTCAAGAACATTCTAGTAATCGAATAACTTACTTTACTACTGAGTGTCAGTTCTCCATCAGAGTTATTCTGTGAACAGTTCACACACATGTACACACACATTGTACATCTAAACATACTACATTTGAAGACATGCTGCAGTGTTAGAGTTGCAAATAACCCTTCATTAGGATGTGTACAGCCTAGAAGTTCAGTGCTGTTGTTAGAGCAAGACTATATGTAACAGCTGTGTGTAAAACAACAAAATAAACATCTCTCGTTAATAAGAACAACGTTGGCTTGTAGTTGCTGCTAAAACAAACAAGAAGAAAAACCTTCACTATGGCTTTCCCTGGAAACCTTCACCTCTTTAACAAAATCCTTTAATTATATAGCTACTTGAGCCTTGATTGGCACATTTTCCAACTCTCACAGATGTGCTGTCAGTAGCCAGCTGCGCTGTCAGGTAGCCAGCCTTCTTTTGGGAACTCAGGAAGACTTTTAAGGTTGCATTTGCTCTGGTGGAGGTCAGTACACTCGAGGGCCGATGTTCTCTGGAAGCTGTGCTCCTGGGTCCAGAGACGAAAGGCACATCCTTGTTAGTTTAGAAAAGCCTAAAGGAGACTCAGCCCCACAATTCTGGCCTTCAGTAGGGTAGTCACGAGAGTCAGTACATAGAAATTGTGACGTTCGTAACCAGTACCCCTGGCAAGCAAACAAAACAAAAACCACCAAAAAACTTTCGTCTGGGGTTGGAGTAAAATACAAGAGTGGGTGCCGTGAGATAACAGCTTTCCTCAAGTGGGGAAAAAAAGCAATTCATTTCTATAAAGAGATTTTCCTGACCTTCTTGTCCCCAGGCCTCTTAAAAGGGGCCTCACTTTAAGAACCCATTAGTGTAAGCATTCAGCTCTGCTGTTGCCCTGCCAAGTTGATACTTAATGATGTCCACATGGTTCTGTAACCTCATCCTGGCCATACTTCCTCTTCTCTTGTTACCCATAATAAACAAACAGCCTGTAGCTGGAATCATGGTCTGGGTCCCCAGCCTGGAGCATCCCACACTGAGGTAAAGGAACAGTCATCTTTTGCTGTTCTCACCCACATGCTGTGTGCATCCTAGCAAGTGGCAGACTTTACCCGTTAGCTTGTAGCTTAGGAGTGTGACTGCCCCGTGCCTTCCTGCCTGTCTTCATCATGCCCTCGCACCCAGCCTCACGTGCTTAGGAGTTCAAAGAGTACTACCCTTGGTCAGTGTCCTGACTTCAGAGAACATTAGTAGGCCAAGCACAGTGGCAGATGTGCCAGTGACTCCAACACCCAAGATGAGTCTGTCTTGAGTGAGTAGTCTCACCCGCTGGCCTGGGCAGGAGCACACAGCTTGGACATTCCTCTGCTGTGGCCCACATGCTGGGCGAGTGTGGGAGAGGACACTGCTACAGCTGTTCTAGACCCCCTAGACTAGAGAAGCCTCGAGACAGTGGAAACAGGTGGAAGGGGCAGGTACGGTGAGAATTTGCCCTCCAGGCAGTGTTCCCCATTCTCTGTTGCTTGTTGGTGTGGTGGTGGTTCGGGATGCTGCCGTTATGGCTCCTCTCCTACGCCACCTTGAAGACTCTTCCGGCCTCCAGCCCCTAGCCAAGGTGCGGAGAGCAGAGAATGCTAGCTTAGATTCTCCAGTGTCTGATTTTTGTCCCCAGTGAAAAGCCGATGGGATGAGTGAGCGTCCGTCCACACACTAAGAGGCTTAGTTCACTGATCGCAACATCCAGTTCTTCCTAGGTGGGCAGTGAGCCTTTACCAAGAATGACAAGCCCAGCCCTCTGGAGGCAGAGGCAGGAGGATTGCTGCAAGTCTGAGGCCAGCCGCAGCTTCATAGTAAGACCCAGTGTCACAAAAACCAAACCAAAACGGAACCTTTGAAACATTCCAAAATTCCAGTGAGAAGAGGGGATGAGAGAAAATTACCTTTCACGAAACCTAATAAGCAAACAGAGACCAGAAACTTACATCCAAAGTCATCCCTCAGGCGTTGCCTGGCATGGAGATGCCAGAGCTGTTCTTGGAGGTTCCTCCTAGCTGGGGACCCACAGATGCCCTTCAGCCGCCCTACTTTCATAGCTCACCTTCCTTTGGGACGTGCCCTTGGTTGCCCCTGGGTCAGCCTGACAGGTGACAGGTGTCCTGTTGGTAACATCCCTCACTGAGGCTTCCTGCCCATCCTGGGTGACATCGTGAGTGAGGCCCATGTAAGGTTGCCCTGCCACCCCCAGAAAGACTCATCCACCTAGTCTATGTGGCTTACCAGCACCATGGCTCTGTCAAAGCACTACCTGGGGAGTAAACTGATAAATGAAACCAGGCCACTGCTTCAGCTTTGGCCGTCAAAGGAATCTGCAGATTGGTTTTGCTTCAGTCTCCATCAGACTGTTCATCTCTTTCAAACTCACCTGGTACTGTGTTTAGTGAAATCCCTCTTTTCTTCCCAGAATGTCTAAGACAAAATGATTTTCAGGAGATGCCCACAGTGGGCAGTCAGAAGTCAGCAGGGAGAGTTTTCACAGCTCTGTTGGTCCCAAGGATACAGGGATACCTAGCAGTGGACTCAGCATCCAGCCCTGACTGCTCAGGTCCAGGCCAGAGGTGAGGGAGAGAAGAGAGCTGACCAAATTCATGCTCCCCGATAACAGTCCCTCCAGTGGTGGACGGTAGTTCCTAGGAACCACGGAGGTGGTGCTGCCTTTGGACAACCTGGGTGGAGCGGTGAAGGGTGAAGACGTGTTGGTTCATCTTTCATGACCAAGCTCTGGTGGCGGGAACTTTGCTCAGATATCAGCTGCTCTTCTGGGACTAGCAGAGCAGGTGTCTGAGGGACAAAAACAAGCATGAGCTCTTCAGTCTGAGCCCCTGAGGTTTAAACGTAGTCAGACCATCCTCTTACATTTAGTCACTGTGGCAACTGACAAGTTTTATACCATTTAGTGGTGTGAAAGGCCTTCCCTTGTGATTGGATCAATTTACTCACGGAATTCTTTTTCTGTTCTCTTTATCTGTTTCAGTCCTTACCTTCAGAGTATTTTACATGAACCCCCTTTTTTATTCTTTTGCAAAGCCCTGGCAAGGCTTATGTGTTAGGGAGTCTGTTTTTTAATCTTTCTAATGAATAAATGAGTGAAGAATAAAAGCTCAAGGGTCCTGTAGGAACTGGCTTCCCTGGGCATGGTGGGGATCATGGAAAGACTGTGTTTGAATTTGCCCTGTGAATTGGTGAGTGTCTGCATTCCTTGGCTGGGGAGTTACAGGTTTGGGGAGATTAAAACGCATTCCAACCTTCCACTGGAATTATAAACAATGAGAACGTGTCTTTTCTTGCTGAAAGAATCTGGAGAAGCAGAAGATGGCGGGCCTGGAGGCACAGAAGAGGCCGCTGATGTTGGCAGCGTTGAATGGGCTCTCGGTGGCCCGGGTCTCGGGGCGGGAAGACAGTCGACATGATGCCACCCGAGTTCCCATAGACGAGAGGGTAAGTGCAGGGCTTGTCAGGTGACTCGTTCTCTGTGCTCTCTGGATTCCAGAGCTGCGCCTAGACATGCAGGTGCGGTTTGCCTCATAGGTTAATTCTTCAATCTGAGGTGAAGACGATCTGGTCCAAGTATGTTGTATTAAAACCAAACCTTCCCGACATCTCGTGTTTCTTCACTCTGGTCTCCACACTTAATCAAGTTGGGTTATTGATCATGATTAAGAAGACTTGCCCCAGGGCTGGCCAGATGGTTCAGTGTCAGGGAACTTGCTGCCAAGCCTGACAGATGACCTCAGTTTAATTCCTGGAACTTGACTTGCTGGGAGGAGAGATCCAGGTAGGAGGAAACTCCTACAAATTGTCCTCTGACCTCCATATAGCCTGCCTTTCTCACCCCCCAAAAAGTGTTAAAAAAAGAGACCATTCTCTAAACAGCCTATACAACCTTGGCCCAGTCAATTTCTTTCCTTTTTTTTTTTTTTTAAATCATAAGACATTTATTTTATAACAATTCATTATTCACACATACATATATGTAATTTGGTATTTATTAAGGACAGTTGCAAACTTTCTTACTTGATTATTTGTTTGCCTCACACAATTCAAAGTTGTACTAATTTGATATGTGCTGAAGAATGATGGGGGAAATATTAAAAGTCTTCATTCTCTTGGGTGTGATGGGGCTCACCTTTGATCCCAGTAATCAGTAAGTTGTAGGCCAACCTCATCCGTACTGTGAGTTCCAGGCTGACTAGGGTTACATAGTAAGACCATCTCAAAAGAAAAAAAGTCTTTGCCTTTTGCAGTTAAATCATGTTTCTATAAGAGCAGAAAACTTGGTTTTTTTCTTTTTTCCTCCCCTTTGGAGATAGGGTCTCCCTGTAGCCCCAGCTGGCCTGGAACTTGCTATAGAGATCAGGCTGGCCTTGATCTCACAGAGATCCGTCTGCCTCTGCCTCCCAATTGCTGGGACTAAAGGTGTGTATGCTACCACACCTGGCTGATATTTCTATTTTTTGACTTGCTATAGAGATCAGGCTGGCCTTGATCTCACAGAGATCCGTCTGCCTCCCAATTGCTGGGACTAAAGATGTGTATGCTACCACACCTGGCTGATATTTCTATTTTTTATAAAATGAGAAAATTAAGGCTATACTTTCAGGAATCATTTCTATAGTTCGTAAAATGAGAAAATTAAACGATTTTTTGTGAGTAACTGTCATTTCCTAGGAAGCGGGCATCTTAGCCCAAGGGGTTTTAGGGCTCTTGTTGTCCCTTCCATGGCTCTAAGATGATACTGATTTATAGTCATTCGATTGATGCATTGTCATAGCTATGGTTTGGGGTTGTAGAGGTGGAGAAGTTGCCCCCTAGGTGCTGGGCTTGTGTGGGTCTCTCCCCCAGGCTTGCTGCTAGGGGGTCCAGAAACTAGTTGTCTAAGTTTAATGTGGTATGAATAACATTTTCAGGTATTTACTAGAATGATTTTAGGGTCAGAAAGGACATTCTTCCAATTAGGACCATGTAATTGAAATTAGTCATTCAGCCAAAAAAAAAAAAAAAACAGAACAAGTAGGGTGTTATGTGGGTTAATCCTCAGAGTTCTACAGCTGTGGACCACATCGTCTTAAAATCTAGTTCAGTAGAAAGTGCTGTGAGAGTGGGGAAGGGCTGTTTGGCTGGTTAAGATGAACACTCTTCTTTTTTAAACAGGTGTTAGTGAAAGTATTGCTTTTGAATTTCAGCTTTAACCTGTCTTTGCAGATGTCAGTTTATAGCATGAATTCGAAGTGAAATGGTTGTCAAACAACAGAAACGAGCAGCATGGTTAGTGATGTGACCAAATGATCAATTACAATATTAGCTACCCATCCTGAATCCCCAGCTCTGTGAATACTGAAGCAGGTCTGCTTGCTCCACTGAGATTCGGAGCGCTGATGATGGATTCACTTCTCTTGCAGCTCAGAACCCTGAAGAAGAAGCTGGAAGACGGAATGGTGTTCACAGAGTATGAGCAGGTCCCAAACAAAAAGGCCAATGGTGTTTTCAACACTGCAGCTTTACCAGAAAACGCTGAGCGCAGCCGCATCCGGGAAGTCGTCCCTTACGAGGAGAATCGCGTAGAGCTCATCCCAACCAAAGAGAACAACACGGGCTACATCAATGCTTCCCACATCAAGGTGCGTGGCAGGGCGCATGGGGAGGTGTACTGGGGGCTGCTGGGCCCAAGGAAAAGACCCAGGGAGAGTACCTGTCAAGGCCACAGCTGTGCCTCTAGGCGTGCCCCCAGCCCCTTAAAGAATGGTTTGAGTGCTGATGGCTTAGTCTCTGGAAGGGATGCTGGTCCTTGCAGAGGGAACTTGAGTCTGTTAGTCTCAGGGGAAACTGAGGTCTGCTCCTCCTGATGCATACTCATCACAGAGGACTGAGCCTGTGCTCTCTGATACTAAACTGTGGGGAATGGGATTGTCCTGTTTGGTTTGTGGCTTTTGGGACAGCCACAGGTTTTGTTGTCATCGATGGTTTTAATCCTGTTCAATAGCAACAGAAACTGTTGTCTCTTCTTTCTAATTCTATGGGCAATTCACCTTAAAGCCCCAATTTTTAGTGCTCTTTTGAGAGTGGAGAAATTTACACACAAACCATGATTACATCGTGGCTCATCTTGAGTCTAAAGACTTGCCACATTGGTCAGTAAATGGGTGTGTGAGGTTTCTTTTTTTAAAGACTTATTTTGATTTTATGTGTATGAGTGTGTGTCTGCATGTATGTGTGTGTACCACGTGCATGCCTGGTGCTCAAGGAGTCAAGAAGAGGGTATTGGGTCGCCTGGAGCTGGAGTTACAGGCAGTTGTGGGCTGCCACATGGATGATGGGAACCAAACCCTGGTCCTCTGCAGGAGCAGCCAGTGCTCTTAACTGTTGAACAGTCTCTTGAGCCCCCAGTGAGTAAGATTTCAATTAGTATTTCAAATACTTCGTACCTTCATATCTTATAGCTCAGCTAGCATTCAGAGCTTTGGGCACGTGGGTGCCTACGGTGAAAGATTTCCTTAGACCATGACTCTGAAGCTGGAAGTCTGAGAATGTGTTTGAATGATATTGGTAAGTCCGTTGGTACAAGAAGTTTTTAAGCAATACAGGCAACACAGGATTCACCTAATCTCTTGTGATGCGTTGCCTTGGACTCCTGATTCCAGACTTGAGTATTATTTCATTTCCTCATTGGACTTTTCAGCTGTAGCAGAATTATTATTCTATTAGAAGGTTCCTTTGACCCTTTCAAAGTGTGGTTGGGTACCTGACTCGTGTACCACTTACAAGCATTTTCCATATAGGGTATGAAGAGTATGGCATTTTTTTTACACGGGGAACAGATAGCACCTGTGTATGTGTATTGGTAACAGGCGTTTTTGCTCTCATTTTTGAGAATGAAAACAAAAACAATAAAATAATGGAGGCCAGGGAACTCTTAAGTAAAGAGTGACATTCTTAGATTACAATATAACGGGCAGAGTAACATATCAAAGACGCGGGTGACGCAGCTGCTTCCACAGAGTGCCTGTGAAACTCTTACAGAGTGACACCCTCCTGGCCTCTTCCCTCCGCCAAGTCTCTTCCCCATTCTCCATCTGCTCTCTGGAAACAGCTGTCACTCTGCATAGATGGTGCCTGTCGGGTGTTGTTACCCAAGATGCCATCCCTTCTGCAGCGTTCTCTGAGGCCTGCATTTCATTTTGTGGATCAGGCATAGATGGGGGTGCATTTCATAGATCCACAGAGCTTGTTGAAACTTGTCCTTGTGTTTTTGGGACTGAGTTGTGTGTTTCGCAGTTGTTTTCTCTCCTGGGTTCCAGGCAGCCGTTAACATAGAAGAGAGATTTATTTGCTCCAGAGGTAGAATCCCATCTGTGACTCTACCTCGGTAACACTGGTTGTTTGTTTCTAATGCAGCTTTTAATACCCTCCTGTCAATACTTGGACGATGCTAAAGGGCCCCAGGCAGTGGTGTTCTCTGAGAGGACTGATGGTTCCTATATGTTGGGTGCCAGAAAGGCTAATGTTTAAAATCACAATTCCACAGACAAACCAAACTCTTAGCCAGTGAATCTATGAATGTTTTCTCCCAGCAGTACTTGTTAAATGGATTTTTCTTGCCAGCTTTGACCTAAACATGTCTATATAATGAGACAATAACTGACATTGTTTTTGTTTGAATGAAGTTAGTATATAGTTTCATAAAATAAATGAGGGGGAAAGCTTCAAACAACAGTAATTGCTTCTAGAACTCTCTGGAGGTCTGCATTGCATGAATGTGTAAAGAGGCCTGTCTTTGCAGCATCAAGGCACAGGAATGCTAGAGGGAGGTAAGAAGGAAGGGTTCCTTCAGAGGCCACTGAAGACCATGCGCTTTAAGTCCAACCTCTCATTCGTGGCTGCAGCCATGTTGACAGCTGCAACACCACAGTCATTCTGAGCTACTGGAGGCGAAGGACCTCGTGGTCTGAATGTGTCACAGGACACGTGGTAATTGATTTGGGTGCCGGGATGCACCAGGGGAGGCTGCCGATCATCTTGTGCTGTTGGCACGTCCCCATCGTGTGTGGGACCCAGAGCTGCAGGAACAGTAGCGGCTGTGGCGTGCTTCATGGCAGGTCCGCAGGAGGAAGGAATTCTCCAAAGGGATGTTGTTATTATCATCATCATTATTATTAATATTATTATTACTACAGAAAGGATGCAACAGAACTGTGTTCTTCAACGGAATCACAGCCCAGTAGTGGTTGTGAAACTGATTAAATGGTCATAATTGTATGTGCTTTAATAAAATATGGAATAAAGAACACAGCATCAGATTACACTGAACATACTGAGTATAATTATTGTTTTCATAACAAATTCTGTTAATTTATACATAGTATACCCATATACTATTGTGTTTCTGAGCATCTATGTTTGTGTATGTATTTTTGTGAATATGTTGTATGTTTGTGCACGCACGGTATGTGTACATGCCCCCCCCATGTGTGTATACGTGGAGGTCAAAGGTGACGTTGGTATTATCTGCCACTGTATGTGGGACATGGTAGAGCACTTCTTTAATCCCAGCACTCGGGAGGCAGAGGAAGGGATCTCTGTGAGTTCGAGGCCAGCCTGATCTACATGGTGAGTTCCAGGCCAGCTGGGGCTATAGGGAGACCCTGTCTCAAAAAGACAAAAGAAAGAAAACAACAAACCCACTTTATTTACTTAATGTGTGTTCTGGGTCTGTGAATGCATGTGGAATAGAAAAACTCACAGGAGTTGGTTCTTTCCTTCCACCATGTAGGTCCTAGGGATCAAACTCAGGTCATCAGACTTGGTAGCAAGTCCTAGGGATCAAACTCAGGTTATCAGACTTGGTAGCAAGTGCCTTCACTGTCTGAACAATTTCACCAGCCCCTCTACCTTATTTTTGTGATAGGGCCTGTCACTGAACCTGGAGCTGGTAGTTTCCGCTAGGCTGATTAGCCAGTGAGTCCCCGGGACCCTCCTATCTCTACCTCCCCAGTGCTGGGATTATAGGAGGGTACCACTGTGCCTGGCCTTTATATAGGTGCCAGGGATTGAACTCAGGTCTCACACTTACGAGGCAGGCACTTTTCCCACTGAGCCATCTCTTCAGCCTATGTGTATTTTTTAAATGTGTATTAGTTTGCATATATTGTGTGTTGCAGAAAAATAAGGTCAAGTAGATATGTTTTGACAGGCTTGCTGAGCAAAAAATGTTTTGATGCAAGAGCATCTCACTTATGTTCACAGCCTTAAGGTTTTTGATAATTGCACTAATATACTTGGTCCAAAAATCTTATGGTTGAGGGTCTCCACCCAGCTGGTAGTCACAGGATGACCATCCAGCTGGGGTTCACTTACTGATACTTTCCTTGGCTTACAGGTGGTGGTTAGTGGGGCAGAATGGCACTACATTGCAACTCAGGGGCCCCTGCCACACACGTGCCACGACTTCTGGCAGATGGTGTGGGAGCAGGGAGTGAACGTGATTGCCATGGTCACTGCGGAAGAGGTAAGACAGTGACCACTCAGTGTTCTTGTCCTGGGAAGGGGTGGCCGGATCGTGGTGTGGCCAGGATGCATGTCTCTTCCTATACCCTTGTAGACCACCCCCAATCTAATTTACTGTGGAGCCTTTATTTCCTCCTTTCCAGCTGACTTGACTTTTTTTGTGTGTGTGATATCCTTCACTACAATGAAAACAAAACAACACAAAATCCAAATGACCAAGCTCGAGTTCATCCAGCGGACGGTGTGTATCACACAGAGCAGTGATCTTCCCTGGGGGATTTGAGTGGCTTCAGCTGCTGGGAGTAAATGGACAACCTCCCACCCCGGGCACTGCCAGCTCTGCATGCCATGGCACTTATCAGGAGACGAGAGCGGCCGTTGTAAAAAAGGGCTTTATTCTTCAAGGAGAGGCGGGGAAAGTTCTTTTTCTTCCTTTTCCAAGCCAAACACAATTTTTCTGTTGTGGCTAGAGAGCTGCTGTTGTACATACTGGCACGCACCTCCGTGTGGTCCTGTGGGCTCGGAGAGCACTGCCTTTGCGGGGTGGGGTGGGGGCTCGGGGGAGTGTTGTATTTCCTCTCTTGTCACACTCTGAAAACATTTTTAACCATCTGCCCGACCCACCCTTTTTGATGTTCTCCTAAAGTTCCAACTTGTATTTTTGGAGTCATTTAAGGAACTAACTTCATGGGGCATTTTTATGAACATCTTGGCATGGTGAGGCCCCTTTCCTGAGTGCTGTGCAGGTGCCAAGAAGAAAGGGAGAGAATAGGGCCAGAAAAGTCATGTCCCCTTCTGACTGTTCCTGGAGCTCCAAGTTTAGTGCTCAAATAAAGAAATAGAATAAGGTTGGGGACAGTAACGGAAGAAATTCACCGTTGACCTCCACACGTACGTGTGCACGTACCCACACAGGTACAAACCGCTCAGACAGCTGAAAGGGATAAACTGACTTGGGTCAGGTGGGCAGCGGTGGCTCTACCGGAAAGGCAGTTGTTCCAGTGAGATCTGAGTGGCGAGCACAGACTTGCTCATCAAATGAAGCAGGATCTACTGCTCTGTGTGACAGCCAAGGGCACGTCATCTCATAAAGTCCAGAACTGACTTTAGGCACTGAGCAGAAATGTGAGTTTGAGATCTCAGATCAACCTACTCTTACAAGATTGGTATAAAAGAGGAACGTGCTGTAGACCTAGAAAAACTCAGTCAAACCCACTGAGTGCAGTGAAGGATGGCTTGTGTCCCTCAAGGATGCACTGGTCCCTTTTAATTTTGCATATTTAGACAGAGAGAGTCTCTTGTAGCCCCAGGCTGGCCTCAAAGTTGCTATGTAACCAAGTTCAGAGCCTTCCAGATTCTGCCTTCCAAGTGTGAAGATGATAGGCTTGTGCCACCACACCTGGTGTATATAGTGCTAGGGCCCAAAGCCAGAGCTTTACACATTCTGGGCAAGCACTCTACCCCCTGAGCTACATCTAAATAGGCCTTTTGTAAATATGCAGATTCTCAGACAAGATGATAAAATTCGGGGAGAAAAACCTAGGGCTGTAGCTGGCTAGTCTCTCCTTCAGTTACAGGTCAAATTAAAACACATTGGCCGAGCTGAACGAACTGTGAAGTCAGCCTTGGATGACAGAGGCCATGTCGGTAGTCAGTGTGGTATATTAGAAAGAGCCTGGGCCCATCATCAGGCCTGACAACCACGGGAGCCTGCTGCTTCCCTGCTTAAAGCCCTAGATGGCTTTCCTTTCTCTACAGGCTGGAGTCCCAGGTCCCTGTGGAAAGTGAGGCCGCCCTCCCCACTTGCAGTAGTCTGGCCGCCCTGCACACCATCCCCTTTCTTGGACTCTCCAAATTTATTCCCCCTTTGGACTTTGCACTTGCTCTGCTCTCCCACCAGTGTGAACAGTGTCAGCCTTGGCCAAGTCACAGGGCCCTCTGTGGCTCCGTGGAGGTGGTGGTCTAGAAATGTCTTCTCTTCTGCTTTCAGATCTTAGGGTTAAGAGCATAAGGGCCCCAGTCCTGACTAATTCCCACTTTTGCTCTTGATGTGATTCAGGAAGGTGGACGGACCAAAAGTCACCGATATTGGCCCAAACTGGGGTCCAAGCACAGCTCGGCCACCTATGGCAAGTTCAAGGTCACGACAAAGTTCCGGACAGACTCTGGTTGCTATGCAACCACAGGCTTGAAGGTCAAACACCTCTTGTCTGGGCAGGAAAGGACAGTGTGGCATTTGCAGTACACTGACTGGCCCCATCATGGTTGCCCTGAGGATGTCCAAGGATTCTTATTTTTTTTTATTTATTTATTTATTTATTTATTTATTTATTTTTATGTGTGTGAGTGTATTGCTTGCGTGTACGTAAGTGCACCCGTGTCGTGCAGTGCCCTCGGATGTCAGAAGAGGGCATTGGATCTCTTGGAACTGGAGTTCCCAGTGGTTGTTAGCTACCATGTGGGTGCTGGGAATTGCACCTGGGTCCTCTGCAAGAGCAGCCAGTGCTCTTAACCACTGAGCTGCCTGTCCAGCCCCTCTTGTGTAGGTTTTTTTTCCCTATTCTGCCAAGCACCTCAGTGGTCTTTCAGAAGATGAGCAGACCGTGAGGGTGCCTTCTCTAAGCAGTGCAGCGTTATCATTTTGAAGTATTTGTCCCCTCACCCCTGTAAAGGACAGAGGAGAGTAGTAGGTATCACTAGTGCTCTGTTTATGTCTTACACAAATAGCTAAGACTGTGGTTGACTAATTCTACATTGATTTAAACTCTTAGCTACTTAGTAATCTATAACCACTCTAACGCCTGGTATAATGTGAGTCTTGAGAGGCCAGACACGAAGGGACAGATACCATCTGGTTCCAGCTGCTTGAGGTATCTAGAACAGGCAAATCCGTACAGACAGGAAGCAGAAAAGGGTGCCAAGGGCCAAGAGAACAGGACATGGGCTCTTGCTATTTAAGGGCTACAGAGATTCTGTTTGGCATCATTGCAAAGTTCTAGAAAGAGATAGTGAGGATGGTGCAGGGAACGCAATGCACTTAACGCCAGTGGATGGCTGAGAGGGTAGATTTCATGTTGTGTCCGTTTTAGCCCCATAAAAAAGTAAACCACAGAGAAACAGATCAGAAGTTACCTTAGTTTCTACGAATAATCCCATCGTAAAGGCTTGCATCGCACAGACCCTAACTTGCCAGCCAGTTCTGTTAGGGTTTTCTCACAGTGGTGGCTGAGATGCCTTGAACTGTGGGCATCATTTCGTAGACCTGAAACTGGACTGAGCTCAATGAAAAGCTCTGTGCATGCCTTTCTTTTAAGATGTGGCTGTTTTAAACATGAATTCACCAGAATATATGTGATATTTTATTTGAAAGACCAAACCTGAGTGTGGATGCCTTGTGTGCCAGGCAGTGGCCCAGCCTCTGAGGGCTGATAATGACGGTCCAGTCCTGTGCCTCAGTGGTGGCTGCCTCTCTGCCTCCCTTTCCACAGTCCTGACTGTCCTGTGTGTGTGAAGAAACCTCACTCCATATTAACCAGGGCAAGGCTGGCATGTTACCTTCTACATCCAACTAGGGACAAGCTGTCCACCACAGAGGGCCCACTGTCTACATGCTGGGCAATGTCAAAACCTTGCTTTATTTTGATATATTTAGAATTGGAGGTAAGGTCTGAAAAGAAAAACAGAGAGACTGTTTTTAAGACCTAAAAATAATTATTTTTCAAGTTCTGTTAGAGTACGATGCACACTGATGCCTTGAAGGATGGCACTCGCTGTTCAAAGTGGAGACAGGCCTTGACAGGCATGCTGAGTGCACAGAGCGAGACAGTAATCAGAGCCGAAGGAATGAAGCAAGCTTCAGAGAGGTTAGGATTTGCCTGATTTCAAACAGCCAGTTATCTGTAGCTCGGGCATTAATAAGGAGAGAGGTGACCATCGTAGAACCTTCCTCCTAACTGCTCTTTTTATCCCTTTCAGATCATCTTTTGCAAATATGGAGATTGGTTTGATGATTGACTAACAGCCCTGCTAGTGTTTTACTCATAAGGTAGTCTAAAGGGTAGTCAAATCTCTTAAGTCAGAACCAGTGTAAGGAATGCCAGTCTAAGCTGAAGAATACAGGCAGTACCATTAAAGAATGTGGGTTGCTTAATGAAATTAATTTTCTAAGAAACTCAAAGCTGTGGTACTGTGTAGAGCCTTAGAATGCAGGCTTTCTCTATCTTCTGAGATTTAAGGCTTTAGGTCCAGCCTGAAATTAAATTGAGCCAAGCCGACTCTCAGAAGTTCGCATCTGGTTTTACCACTCCAGAGAACGCACCCTTTGAATCCAGTTTCTTCTGCATTTTATGCACAGCTCTGTTTGACACTAAGATCTGCTGAACTGCCCAGTCTTTTATTTTTCTTCTTAGATTTAGCTTTAAAATTTTGAAGAGGTATGCCTCTTGTGCGTGAACTTTTTATCAGACTACTCAGCTGGCCAGTTCGTTTTGCCCCTTGTAGAACATGTGCCGACCACGCCCAGGCTCAGCGCCGTCAAGCTGCTCTTGGTTCGTAGCAGGTCTGGTCTTTCTTTTTCCTTCAGCCTCAGTTCATTTACTGCCAGCAGGTGCCATGAATGCCACAGCCCGCACCTCTGGAACTGTCACCATCAGCTGTCACAGAAGTCAGATGGGCAGTTATTTTGGATTAAGATACAGTGTTTTTGTGTGTAAATAGATGGTTTTTAAATGTTGAAAATGGGTCAATGTATTTTTTTTCTCTTCAACTGGAGTATTTCCTGTTGCATCACGATGAGTAACTCAAGGCACTGTACGATCTACATTACTAATTGACTTATTCTGGGTTTTGGATTATGTGAGGATCCCGTTTTCCTTGAAGACAGGAAAAAAACCTAAAGATTGTGTTGTCACAGTACTTCTTTTGTGCCCACTTTGGGCTGTGAGCAAACCTTTGTGTGGCCCTGTTGCACTCGCAGCTGCTGGAGGGTGAGGGTGTGTCTCAAACCCTCCACCCCACAGACATGCTGCCTTCACAAGCAACGGTTCATGGAATTGGTGCTGGAGAGCACATTCCCCAAAGTCTGCTCTTCAGATCTGAAAATGAAGTCAAGCCTCGGTTGACATTCACTCGTTCGGTGAGGAGGAGAAAGGGGAAGGGGCAGATGGCTGGCTGCTCGCTCCCCAGCAGAAATTGGCTCTGACAGGCGGGCATTTCAAGGGGACTTAGCGGCTGTTCTGATCCCAGTCTGTTAATAGTAGGAAATGCTGTAAGTAATGTCTAGAATCATCTGCTTGGGGGACTTAGGGATTTGCAGAGGGGAAACAGAATTTAATTTTTAAAAAAGAACTATTTAAAGAACAAATTCTCCTGTGGACTAATTGACTCCCAGCTGGTCTTTTCTGGATCCAGGATGTTACAGCAGGTACCAGCCAAATAATTAGCGTCTTCTAAGAATTGCAAATTATTATTATCGCAGAAAAACAAAAGATTCACCATCAGGTCCTCCTGCCTCCTGCTCCCTTCTATGCAAAGCCCAGTGACACTTGGGTGACAAGATTTGCATTTTGTCCTGCAGCCTACCTGGAGGAGATCCAGTCAGTCCGTCGCCACACTAACAGCATGCTGGAAGGCTCCAAGACCAGGCACCCGCCCATCATTGTGCACTGCAGCGCAGGCGTGGGAAGGACTGGCGTGGTCATTCTTTCGGAGCTGATGATCTACTGCCTGGAACATAATGAAGTGCGTGGTTCTGGCTTCTGTCTCCATCTCTCTATTGTTTTATGTCTGGGGGGGGTGCACATGTGCTGTGTGCAGGTGTGTGTAGGCCAGAGGTCTACCTCAGCTGTCATTCCTAGACACCATCCACCTTGCTTTGTGAGACAGGATCTCCCATTGGTCTGGAGTCTGCCACAGTAGGCGAGGCTGGCTGGTTGGAGAGCCCCGGACCCTCCTGTGTCCTCCTCCCCAGTGCTGCGATTCTGAGTTCAGGCCACCACACCTGGCTGCTTTCCTTTTCAAATGAGTTCTGGGACTGTGGCTGGGATCTGTCCTTTTTCCCATTGTTACTCTTGGTAGATGGAGAGGGGAAAACAGTCTCCGCTCTGCTCCTCACTCTTCAGGCTGGTCAGGTTCCTGTCCCCGTCTCAGGAGAAGAGTAGAGCATGTTTAGTCTGTTCCTTAAGACTTCCGGTAAGTAAATGGAGAATGTTGTGTCCTGTTTTCCTCCCTCCAAACTCACCTGCCTTTCCTGACAGCCGGGGTTGCACAGATTGTGTTTCAGTCTAGAACTCTGACAGTGTCCGTGTCGGTGAGGTAGCTTTGCTTTCTCCTGCACTTTCCCTCTTTCTCGTTCCTTTTAAAATTTTTTGTTTTAAATTATGTATGTGTGCATGTGGGTTTGTACTTGAGTACAGTGCCTGTGGAGACCAGAAGAGGGCATCAGATCCCCAGAACTGGACTTACAGGTAGTGGGAGCCACCATGTGGGTGCTGGGAGCTGAACTCAGGTCCTGGAAAAACAGGAAGTGCTCCTCACTACTGAGCCATTATGCAGCCTGGTGTCTAATTCTTTTTTTATATTTTATTTATTATTTTTATTTTATGTATATGAATTATTGTCTGCATGTATGTAAGTGCACATGTGCATGCAATGCCTGAAGAGGTCAGAAGAAGGTGTCGGATCCCCTGGAACTGGAGTTGTGGACAGTTGTTAGCCGCCATGTGAGTGCTGGGAATCGAATCCGGGTCCTCTGCAAGAGCAGCCAGCGCTCTTGACTCCTGATCTGTCTCTCCAGCTCCTTCTTGTGTAATTCTTAACACAGAAAAGTTGAACATGAAGAGGTGAAAGGAAGATTCCTGCAGTGGGGTTGGTATCTGTGCGGTAGAGAGGGTTACAGTCTGTCCAGCTGCTCTGCAGCGCCTCGCTGTGACCTGTGCTGCTGGTCTTGGAGTGTCAGAGGTAGTCTGCCCTGCTCCCACACACACCAAGAGGCACTTGTGAACCAGTGGTTATAGTGGAGGTGATGGAGGTAGTGGAAGAGGAGGAGAAAATCAGCTCAGCCCTGAATAACCTCACGGATGTCATTATCGTGGGTTCAGAGTTCACAGAGCAGACTGAGTATGGCCAGGTGCCATGGCCTCACAGCCCACGGGTGCTGCAGACGTGCGTGCCCCGCTGGTCTGGGAGGATGGACGTGGTGAGGCTGAGGGGTCTTTGGACAGCCTGAGGTTTGTTCAAGCAATGGGGACCCACCACATTGATTTCCTTCCATTCAAAAGAGCCCTGTTCTCAAAGAAGCCACACAAGAGCAATCTCGTTTAATACTCAAGATGTTCTTGATTAAAAGCAAACATAACTGAGGTTCAGAGAATGTGCTGTGGGATTTTTAAGTTTAAACTTAAATATGTCTCCTGTTGGTACCTGCTGTCCTACAGTAAGACAGGATGCACAGCTGTATCGATAGCATGTGTGTTGATAGCATGAGTTATGTATATCACCAAGTGCTCCATGCCCATGTTGTCATTTCATCCTGATGTCGATGATGTTCACACCCCTGTGTTACTCCTGAGAAAAGTGTACTGGGCTGGGCCACACTGTTCAAGGCAAACATTACCATCCTTACTTAAAAGGAAACTTCAGCTGGAAAGGTGACTCAGCAGCTAAGAGCACTGTTCTTACAGGGGACTCAGCTTCAGTTGCCAGCACCTACATCCAACAGCCCACAACTACCTGCAACTCCAGTTCCATAGGATTCAACACCTCTCTCTCTCTTTCCCGTATGGAAGTTTCTACATGATCCAACTTTAGTAACTGTGATGATGGCCCACACACAAGGACTATGAGTTTGCTCACATGTGTACACATGTGCTAAGAGCTACCAGCCTCCCTCTCTCCCTCTCTCCCTCCCTCCCCCTCCCTCCCTCCCTCTCTCTGTCTCTCTGTCTCTCTCTGTCTCTGTCTCTCTCTCTCTGTAATAAATCCAGAAAGACAAGGAACAGAACCAGAGATGCCTTTGACCCCATGCTGAGGCATGGTGGGACTGAGCACAGTAGAGGGTCACAGTCTTAGCAGGACTGGGGAGGTGGCTCATGGGGTACAGCGTTTTCCATGTAAACATGAGGACTTGAGTTCAATCCCCAGCTCCCAAGAAAGGAGTCCTGGTGAGCTCTTGCAGTCCCAGCACTGGGGAGGCAGACAGGAAGATCCCTGGAGTGCCGTGGCCAGTCCAGACTTACCACTTGAATTCCAGGACAGTGAGAGAGTCTGTCTTAATAAACAAGGTGGAAAGTGATAAAGGAAGACACCCAAGGCTGACCTCTGACCGCCACGTGAGCGCAGCACACCTGTGATACCAGCGACCAGGTTCTCCGATTGCTGGCATAGAAATGATCCCTCAAACCTCACAGGGGCAGAGCCTTAGCTTTTTTCCTTTCTGTTCACGGGCCGGGGCAGAGGCCTCATGAAGGAGGGGCAGTCCAGGAGAAGCACCGTGTCTCAGGCTGTGTGCCCTTCTCTTTCTGTGTAGAAGGTGGAAGTGCCCACCATGCTGCGGTTCCTCAGGGAGCAGAGGATGTTTATGATCCAGACCATTGCGCAGTACAAGTTCGTCTACCAAGTTCTTATCCAGTTCCTCCAGAACTCCAGACTGATTTGATCTCCCAGATCCAGCTCCTAGAGGAAGGACCCAGCGCCATCCCGGGGTGGGGGGGGCGCCACCTCCAGACAACATCTGCCACCCCAGCTGGCCTGATGGCTGGCAGCAGGCAGAAGCCAGAGTTACTTACAAACATCATGTATTATTTTATATGAGATAATTTATTTTTTTCCTCTTTGGAATAACTTTTGTGAGTTATTATAATGCAGTTTTTCACAATAATATAGTGCTTTTCATTTGAACCTTATGATGACTGATCTGCACTGTAAGCCATGAGAGGAAGGTGGACTCAGGGGCGTTGTGGGCACGGAGGGGCAAGGGAACACATCTCTAGTGAAATTGCAGTCAGATTTGTAATGTTCCTGAACTCCAGCTCAGATTTCTCTCTAATCAAAAATGATAAGAAAGAATTCATCCTGAAATAAAGAAAAAGAGACAAGATCCTTTCCCATAGGAAGAAACTTCGTTCTCTTACACTGTGGCTCCATTCGCCTTGCTGGACAGTTTCTCCGCTCCCTAGCTCTGTCGGCACCCTCAATAAGCCCTCTCCCTAAGCCTGGGGCAGGGAACATGCTCTCTTTGAAGGACAGTAATGCCGTCTTAGTCTACTTTGCTTGTTTCTTATTCTGGGTCTGGAAGTCAGTGTGGTGCTGGGACTGTACACTGTGTATCTGTTGTTTTCTCCCTGTGTGCTTCCAATATCCAGACTGGTGGCCTTGGACCAGGTCATCTGCACAGCTCGGCCTGATTGAGGTAGAATAATGGACCAGGACTAGAGGTGGGTGGGGCCTTGGTGTGAATTCTTGACTGAGTATGTTGAATGTGGTGGGGACTTACAGGTCAAGGTTTGGGGTGTATTCTGTTTTTGTCAATCACTGAATTGTTAAAAGGTTCACAAGAGACACACTGAGTTAACTGCTGTCTGAGAGCTGTGTGGCACGTAGGTAGAAGGGCCCTGGCCAGGAGTCATACCCTGTGTCGGCCCCACTTTGTTAGCTGTTCCATGCTTTGGCTGACAAGATGTCATTATTTTGTTTTATGTTGTTTTGAGGCAGGGTCTCACATAGCCCAAGCTGACCTTGAACTACTGTGTAGCTGCCTCTACCTCCTAAGTGCTGGGATTATGCACCGCCACACTCGGCCTTGCTTGGCCCGCATGCTGGATGCTTGTAGATTATGTCTTGCGAAGTCCTCCACTACCTTCTTTTTCTCTGTGCAACCCCCCCTCTGGTCATGGTGTCAACTACCCTCAAGTTGAAGCCCAATTTACTTTCTATGTCTACTTTTTCCTGAATATAACTTTTTAATTGTGGTTTTGTGAAACTGTTGGGTCTTCCATGTGTCTTCTTCCCCTGAGTGGAAAAGATGAACCAGAAAGAGCATGCTATTGTACCTCCCCATCCCCATATAAGGATAGATGCTTATGACAGCAGATTCCCACCTCTGGAAGATGAGCCAGCCCGTCTTCCCCCTGGGCCAGGATGGTGCCGGTGCTGATGTTGATCTGTGGACTCAGAATCTGGAGATGGGAGCTTTCACCTCCTTCCTCCTCTAGGCTGAGGAGTGAGTCAAGGAAGGGTAGCTGGGAATGAGCTTTGTGGATCTGGAACCCTGGCATGGATTCTGACATAGGTATTTTCAATGATACGGAAAAGCTCGTTGAGAAGGAAAAAAAGTATCGTTTAATTTTCTTGGAGATTTTTCCTGTTTTCCTGTTTGGGATTTCCTAGCAGCTGGTGGCACTTACTGGTTTATTGTGTCATGAAGAATGTCAACATTTGCCTTTTATCTCTAAGCCTCAGTGTGTTTGTATGTCTCACATGGGCAGCGAGGAGATCTGATGCCTTTTTGAGCTCATCACTCACAGGCTGTTGCTAGCAGAATATTCATAAACGCACAAGGTACAGGGAAGAAGTAGTTTGAATATCCAGCTTCCGAGCCAACACATATTGAACCCAAAGGAAACATTTAAGGAGAACATTTAAAAGTTCTCCCACATATTTCATTTTTTAAAACCGCCGCTTCTGGCTCTTCCGCACGTTTTCTGTTCCTATCTCCAAGTGCTGTGCATCTCCTGTTAAATTATCAGCTGCCATTTAAAGTCCTTTCAGTGGCATCTGCACAATAATTGCCCAGAGATGCTTTGTATCTGGGAAGCAAGCCAAGGAATAAACCTTGAAGCAAAGTATATTAAATTAGTTATCTAGTTAGAGCTTTTGGAATGAGTTCCTGACAATGTATCAAGTCTGAAGCTGGAGCTGTCAGGGCCGATTGCTGCTGTTTGGATTTGAAGGGGTAGAAAATTAAAACAGGGGCAAATAAAAGATGCTATCTCACAGAAAGCGGTCATCTGTTCACTAGCCCCTGATTTTGAGGTTTTCCAATTGTGTGTTGTGTCTTTCCCTCACACATTTGTTGGTCCAGTGTTTGCCCTTGTTCGTGGGTCTCTGCATCCTGGCTGTTACATTCCGTGTCTTCATCCTTAAGATGGTGAGGTGAACCATAACAAAGCCAGGGAGCGGCCTGCGGAGCTACATCTGGTCTTGCAGGGCTCCAGGGCAATACCACCTTGAGTAGGAATTCCAGGGAGCTTGCCCGGGTTGCCTACACATCTGTACACAGCTGCTTCCCTGTAGGAAGTAGAGGGGGCAAGAACAGCGTTAGACAGGGATGTCAGGCGTCAATGGATTTTTATGTGTGAAGACAAATGAACTGATCATTTGGAGCTGAGCCACAAAATATCAGGGAAGGTGAAGCCATCTCCATGTGGCATATATTGAGTTTGGATTTCAGGTGTCTATTTTGGGAGACTTTACTGTTACAACCTTTGATTATAATTGAGCCCCCCCCACTGCCCCCAAGTCTTGGGCTTACTCTGGCAAACCCCATTGGTCTGGATGGAGGGTCTTTGTACATCCTGGAGTCAGCCCTGGGGAACACAACCACCTGCTTCTAAGCTCTACTTTGGCTCTCCATTTCAATCTCCAGTGGATAGGGGAGGTTAGCATTTTTTATTCTGCCAATTACTTTTCTATATTTTTCAGTTTAATATCGCTTGACTCATGTTGAATTTCCAGCAATGGAGGATATTTTCTGTGACTAGAGAAACTTCATACAAATTGACCTAATATCTAGTTTGTTTCTTCTTTGATGCAGTACGGATCTCAACACTGTGTGTCTTTTCTCCAACTAAGGACTCACGGACACAGAAGGGTCTAACTGTGGCGACCTTGCTCTGCTCTGTGATGAACCGTCTAGGGCTTGGAGGTTGTCCTCTGCAGAGGTCACAGTGCACCCTTCATGCTGACAGGTTGCACTGACAGACGTGCTGCTACGGGCTCTTCAGTTACCCTCTTCCAAGGCACTAGTTTATTGGTCTGTATCAGCTGACCTCAGTCCAGCCATTATTCATGGGTCCCAAAGGTGTCCTCAGGCAACAAGCAGACCACGCCTTCTAATCCCTCTCCCACTTATAGACGCATGACTGATGGGAACAGCACATTTAGTGACTGATTTCCATTTGGGGAAAATGTGTCTATTGCTTGAGGTGGAATAGACGAGACTACCAGGGCATTCTAGAATAAACTCAAGGAATACGATTGGCTCTGACCCACGCTAGTACTAACTCTGTGGGGCTTCTTAGAGTAAGAAATTCCCTGAAGAGCCAAGTCATTACTGTTGGACTCCTGAGGCAGCCCTTTGTGGAACCGTTTCCCCATTTTACCAAAGATTTTGCTACTGTTTTCATGACCCATTCAGCGTTCCCTTCTGTGAACAGTACCGGCTCCCTTAGCTTCCAGACGGGAGACTTGGGTCCGCTGTGGAAACTGAGTGTTCTCCAGTGACCTACAATTTGATGAGTGACAGACTAGTTGGCTCTATAAGGTGGACTGAGTTCTCGTTAGCCCTTTGGGGGAGATGTCTAAGTGAGGAGGGACACAGAATGGAGCTTTTCTCTTGACCTCTGGAGTACTTTGGGGTAGAAGACCCTTACAGGTTCATCTGTTGGAGGTAGTATCTGCATGTCTGGGGGAGGGGAAGGGTATACTCAGTCACATGCTGCCAACCCCAGTGGGTTGTCCAAACATCAGTTATTGTGGGGGAGCTGTGACGCTGCACCACTGGCTCACCCTTTCTCTCCCACTCTTGGCTTCTATGTTTCCATTTTAAACTCAGGCGATGTGTGTTTTTATCCAGTGGCCTGCCCTCCTTAGCCTCTTTAGCTTAATATAGTGCGTCCTCTTTCTCAAATTCACGCTAAGACATTCATGCTTAACCTGTCGTGAGCTGGGTTCTGGGGATCTGGCATCCTTCAGTCTCATAGACCGGATAATGCATCCTGTTTGGTGTCGTAGAAGGCAGTCAGCCTTCCTGCTGTTCAGAGTTTGTTCAGCCTCCCCGTTTTAGAGGTCAAGTGAAGGACATTTAGTTGCCAGGCAGAAGGGCTGGAGTTCATGGCAGCCTCAATGTGACAGGTCACTGTGTAGAGAGTGAATCTTCTGCTGTATTCTGGCAGCGGGATCAGCCTTTCTAAAAGGTGCCAAAGCTTGTCCACAGATATGCTGTACATGGATAGGAGGGGCTAGGTCAGCCCTGAAGTTCCTACCAAAATAGTCATTGGATACACACTTTTTTGAACCCTGCAGTGATGTTAGAATTGGAAACATGGTGCTACAGTGCTGGGACCCATGTCAGCACCTAGCTCTCTGGCCTGCCGTGGACTCTAAGGTGTGGTCCTTGTGTGCTCTAGAGTCTTCTTGCCCTGCCATCGGCAGCCTGCATTGCCTTGTAGCTTGTGAGGAGAGGGTTTGGCCCATGCACAGGCCTTCCACAGTTAGTCATCATGAACCCTGGTACAAGTCATGACCATTCAAAGCACAAAGCCCCGAAGTGTTGTGCCCGCTGGTGTTGCGTCGGGGATGCTAATGGCATCGTTTGAGATGTTACCGCCTTCGTTCCAGGGCACTTTGTTTGCTCAGGACTCTGCTGACCTTCCAGGCTTGCTCACTAGCTTCGTGGATCAGCCCTCTGCAGCTTACTTTTCCTTTTCTTTACCTACCTGTTCACAAAACCCTTACAAGAGTTAAATCTGCCTGAGAAGTCTTAAACCTCTCTAAAATACCCGCCTAGGAAGCCTTAATTTTAATTTAACAAAGACAGAGGTTCTTAGTTAGCTTTCTGTTGCTGTGACACCATGACCAAAAGCACTTGGGGAGGAAAGGGTTTATTTCATCTTACCCTTCCAAAGCAGTCCATCTTTGAGGAAAGTCCTGGAGGCAGGAGCTGAAGCAGGGACCATGGAGGAGCGCTGCTCACTGGCTTGCTCCCCCTGGCTTGCCCAGCTACTTTTCTTACACAGCCCAGGCCACCTGCCCAGGGATGGCACCGCCCACAGTGCCGGGTCCTCCGACACCAATTAGCAATTAGGAAAATGCCCCACAGACACGACCACAGCCAGTCTGATGGAGGAAGTTCCTCAGCTGAGGTCCCTCTTCCCAGGTGACTAGTTTGTTGTGTCAAGTTGACAAACACAAGTTCCATATCTTCAAAAAACGTGTTCTGGGAAGTTCAAATAACCAGAATGAAAGCGGCGGAAGGCTTCTGGCACCAGGAAGCAGCCCTCACTGCTTTTTCTTCCTTTGGCCATAAAACTGTCCCTCAGTCCTATTGAAAATAATCACCGTAGGTGACTTCAGCAGCATTTGGTGTGGTAACCTGTTTCTGGCTTGCTCTATTATTTCCTTCACAACTGCTCTGTAGTTGCCACCTGGTGGGACACATACATTTTGGGGCCGCTCTGGAGCCCCGAGGGGTGTGCAGTGATCGATACACTGTTAACTATGATGCTATCCATCCAACCCCTCGGTCTGTCTAAGTTTCTTCCTCTTCCTTTAGGGAAACAAACTCCACCTTATAGGTTTAGAGAAGGAAGTGGAGCAGTTCAGACTGGCTTCTTTCTCACCTTTGGGTGGAACCTTTTGCTCACTTCAGGAATGCTTCTTTGAGTGTAGCCAGGTGGCTGAGGACAGGGGTGTCCGTTGTTCCTGGCACTTCTCAGGGCCCCCCCCCCCCCAGCTGCAGTGTTAGGTAGTAAATGCCTTCAGCATGGAACGGAAAACTGTCCTTCGGAGCCATTTTATTTCAGCTTGAATGTCCTAAAATCTTATTGCAATTTGTTTTAGTTTCTTACCACTGCCAAGAAGGTTCTGTAACCATATCCTTTCAGAGATGAGGTTACTCTTCATCAGAGATGATTTCTAGTGTATGCCCTTCATTCCTTCAGGGGTCAGCTGACCTGGCTGAGGACACTTTAAGTGGGGGCGGGGAAGCGGTTTACATATGCAGATGACTATTAAATGTATAACCTTGGGTGACTGTGTTACATCAAATAACAAGCTACTCTAGTTTGTCTCATTGACTAGTGCTCCTCCCTCATTTGGGATTTTGATGCTTTTTTTTTTTGGTTCTGTGTTTTGTCAGATGTTGTGAATTTTTGGTCTCCTTCAAAATAATTGACATTCAATACATCTTATTTTGAAATGATGTACAGAGGAACCCGCCCCACTTAGAAACCATTTTTTTGCTTTAGGGTTTGGGGGTCAGCCCACAGAAGCCTACAGACCTCCATCATGGCCAGAATCCAGGGCTGTGTTGGATCTGCTCGGCTTTTGTGGCCTGGCATATACTATATTGTTGTTGTAAGAAATGGATTCCAGGTTGGAACTCAGGATTCCCAAACAGTCTCCTCCCCATGGCAGACACTTCCTACTGTGAAGATGGAAGCCAGCCCTCTTTGCTGTCAAGCTGCCGTTGCAAACTGGGCAAGGATGGAGAAGGCGGAAAGACATTCCCTATGTCGGGGAGTGCTCTGATCAATAGCCAGGTCGACTCCACTTTCGTATAGACCTCCCATCAATTTAATAATATAAAAAGCCTTAAATAAAGCTATGCATGATCTCCTGGGCTGTTGTATGTCAGTCAATAAGCTTATGCTTGCCAGCTCTTACACAGTTCTGAGGTGTAGTGAGCTGACTTCAACAGTATTTTTTGCACTGTTTCCTGTTTTTACAGTCTTATTTAGATATTGGTTGTAAAGGATGTCGTCTCTGTTCTGTCATTGCTGTAAAATGTCTCCTATGTGCCTTTACAAATGTGAGAACTTTATTCTAACCTTTTTTTGTAAAAGATATCTATTGATTTCCATACACAATAAACTTTTTTTTTTTCAGAGAAAATGGCTAAATCTTTCCTACAACATATATTTGGCAAGACTTGACACCCTTGCAGCCCTTATTTTGTGTATGTGCATGTTTGTGTGGGTGCACATATGTGTGAGTGCATGTTCATGTGTGTGCACGTGCATGTGGAGATCAGAGGCCAACCTTGAGTGGCATTTCCTTGTATTTTGAGACAGTGTCTCACTGGCCTGAGGCTTGCTGACCAGGCTGGCTGGCCAGCAGTCCTGGTATTCTTCTGTCTCTACCTCCCACCACTGGGATTACAAGCATGTGCCACCACACTCATTTTTAGTATGTGTGTTCTGGGGATTGAACTCAAGTCCTCACTTTGCTACGTGAGCAAAGTCTCCCAAGCCCTGCTGCATCCTCTGTGTTAAAATTATCTTCATAGCCAAGGGTCTCCAGGAAAACCTGCCTGCCTTTTGTTTTTAAAAACCAATTGGTCTGGAGAGATGGCACAGCAGTTAAGAGTACTGGCTGCTCTTGCAGAAGACCTGAATTTGGTTCCCAGCTTCCACATTGTGCAGTTCAAAACCTCTTGTAACTTCAACTCTAGTGGATCTGACGCCCTCTTCTGATCTCTGTGGGCACTGCGTTCATATGCATATACCCACAATCAGACATAGAGACGCACACATAACACAATCTTTTAAAAATGGATTGAGGTATAGAATTGGTTACCTGATAAAGTAATTAAGTTAATTAAATGTTGTGGGCTTGAATATAAAATGTCTCCCACAGGCTCGTGTGTTTGAACACAAGGTCCCCAACTGGTACTGTTTTGGGAGGTTATGGACCCTTGCTGGAGGAAGTACGTCACCGGGGGTCTCTTTCTCTCTGCTTCCTGAGTGAGGATGCAGTGTGATCTTCCAGCCTCCTGCTGCTACCACCATGCCTTCCCTGCCAGTGGACTGTGTCCCTCTGGAACTGTGAGCCAAAATAAGCCCTTCTCCCCTGAGTTGCTTTCTGTCAGGGTATTTTTTTCACAGCAACAAAAAACAAAACTAAGATGTTAAACAATTCCAGATACACCGAAGACTTAGGTTAACTGTTTCTATTTACTGACGGATGGAAAACAATCTTCCTTTGCCCAAGTGTCGTAGAAAACGGTGGGTGACCAGGGAGAAAGTATTTTTGGCAAGGGTGAGTTCCCAACACACTTTGAGCTCTTATGTTGTAGAAAACATGAAGAAACAGCAAAATGGGCAGCGGTCAGGGCAGGATCCTAGGAAGGCATTTGTTCAGGTCTCCGGTTCCTGGCACACAGCTCCAAAAGCCCTGGGATTTCCTCAGAAATAGAAGTGATGGGAGGGAAATGGTGTTTCCTTTGTTCCAGGAAAACACTCTACACTGAGATTCTCCCTGGCCTGCTTTTGCTATAATGTGGCCTGCCCCCCTCATATATATGTGTGTGGTGTGAGTGCATGTATGTATATGTATTCCTGTGTGTGTGTATGCCTGTGTAGTGTGCAGGTGTGTGTGGAGGCCTGAGGTTGATGTCAGGTGTCTTCTTCAGCCACCCTCCTCCTTATAGATTGAAGTAGAGCCTCTTGCTGGAACCCAGAGTGTGCTGACTCAGCTAGTGTGGTTTGCCAGATGCTCCAGAGATGCCCATCTGCCGCCATGCCCACCTGGCTTTTATGTGGGTTCTGGGGATCTAAACTCTAGGCTCACTCTTGTGTGGCAAGCACCAAGCCATCTCTCCCCAGCCCTGGCAAGGTAATTCTTTGCAGACCCCTAAGGAGCTCCAATTATGAGCTCCATACTTCAACCTCTGAGGTTGGAGATAATTGCTAACTGCTTGTGTAATGGAACTTCCATCAAAAATCCCCAAACGGTGGTGTCCAGAGAACTGACACAGTAAGCACTTTGAGGGCAGTATGGAGGGGGCCCCTGTGCTCAGAACTTTCCAGACCTCCCTTGTCAACTGCTTGTCCCTCTGTGTCCTTCATAATGAATGTCAGAATAGTGTCAAAGAAGGACCTTGCAGTGAGCCACTGTGGCCAGTTACCAGGCACAATCACAGATGCAGTTATGGCAACCCCTGGACTGTGTGATCAGGCCACATGGAAGTGGGGTGATGTCCTGATGACCAGCATCTAAAGTGAAGGCAGTCCCAGGGGACCAAGCCCCTTCCATATACACAATTTGGCCCTGACTGAGCAGAGTGTGGGGTTAGCTGCTGTGAGAAAACCCCACACATTTGTTACCAGAGACATGAGCAGAAACATCTCAGCCATGAGTATCCATTTACACAAACACAATAGTTTCTAAATATATGTAAAAATGCCCCACGTTAGTATAATGCGCATAAAACATTGCACATGTTAGGCTGACTAAAAAATTTTGGCATTGATACCATATTAAAGAGAAAACATTATTTTATAAAGGAAATAGTCATGTCTATTCAAAAATTTTAAACAATGTCCTATCTGACCTTGAAATTACATCTCCAGGAATCCCCTCCCCATGTGCAGAAGCAGGGTTATGTTTAAGGTGGTAGCACACACCTTTAATCCCAGCACTCAGGAGGCAAAGGCAGGCAGACCTCCTGAAATTGAGACCAGCCAGGTCTATGTAGTGAGTTCCAGGCCAGATGGGGCTACAGGGACACCCCGTGTCAGAAAGAAAAATAATAAAGGTGATCATGTGGCATTGTTCATAAGACCATCACACCGGGGAAACCACAGGTCCACAAACAGGAGTGTCCCGAGGGGATGAAGGCCTCTGCGTTCTGCACAGAATTCTCACCTCTGAAAAGAACAAGAAAAATCTAGGTGCAGAAACGAAGAGTTGCACACAGTTAAGTCAGAGAAGCAGGTTACAAAATCATGACATGTGTCACGTCAGGACCATCCTGCCTTTGTCCCAGGGTATTTGGGAAAAACAAACTTTACCAAGCATCATTTACAGACTTCACCTCCAGGGCAGGCTGTGTTATTTTAATTTACTGATAAATTAAACCTTTATAGCTAGTACCCTAAGCTCATTTGGGGCTTAGCCACTGAATATACTAAGTTAGGTTTTTCTGGGGAAGAGAGAATCTCCCTGTAGTTCCAGCTGGCTGGAACTCACTATGTAGACCAGGCTGGCTTTGATCTAACAGAGATCCACCTGCCTCTCCTCCTGACTGCTGGGATGCCACATGGCAGTAAATCAGTGCTCTTCGAACACTACACCCAACACTGAAATTAAGACGCAGTCTTGTCTTTCTCTGCACGCTGTAGATGCTTGCTAAATGACGACCCAAGAGAATGCATTCTTCTAGATGTCTGTGTCCAGGTGAGGGAGGGGGGGAACACATCACAGACAGCTACAGTTGTTCAAGCAGTCTTCTGATGGTGACCAAGAGGACCAGAGAGAAACTACCAGCCTTTACGTGACAGGGAAGCCCTCTCTTTGGAGTACTAGAGACTCTCTTGGGCGCCTGCTGGACTCTTCTGGGGAGAGGTTGCTAACAAACAGTTTCTGGGTTGTTGCTGTCTAGGCTGCTTGGCTGGAAAGAGCTGGATTCCCTCCTTGTGTGGGAGTAGAGACCAGTGTTTGCTTACAACACAAGGTTGGTAAGGAATTTTTTTTCCCTTCCCAAGCTTACCCCTATTCTCCAAAAAAGGAGAGTACTGACCAGAGAACAGTCAGTGGAGTGAGAGATGGGTAAAAGACAGGACAGTGAAGCATGCCCTAAGTATCTTGGGAGGGCACTAGGGAGAGCCTGGAAAGGCCAGGTCCTCCTGCGGGGGTGGGGATGGGAGGCACCCCAGCAGCGGGTTCCACCAGACACTTCTCTGCCCTCGCACCTTCCCTCCTGCCTGCTGTCTTCCTCCAGAGCCACTGTTCTGTGGAAGGAGCTGTAGACTGAAGATACCCAACCGCACTCCTGGGAACAGAAGTGGGCGCACAGCATGATGAAGGGCTCCCACCTCCACAGACACAAGAAACCAAGCCTCAAGCACTGTCTCTCCTTTATTCTTTCATCATTCAACTTTGTGCAGAACATTCCAGCAGCATGGATGGAAAACTAACTGCATTTAAAAATTCCATCTGCCCAAAGTACATTATAAATACATGAAACCACGCCACGACCTCTTAGAAAAACAGAAAGCACTGGACATTAGTATGAGGGTCGGAGATGAAGACCAACCAGGCACATGGCATGGGCAAGACTTAGTGTCAGCACTCTAACAAGTTTGCAGAAATGGAGTGACCTCTGAGGCTGGTGATACTTAAATCCCGGGAGGTTTCTGAATGACTCGGAACAGCAGCATAGTCAGTGGCTCTCAATCTCCTGCTTGATCTCAGAGATGTATGGATGGTCCTTGCCATGAGCTACTTCCATAATGGCAATGGCCTGGGAAAGAGCGAGACATGGGGTAGGTGAGCCCAGCACACCACCCCTGCCGCCTGCATCCTGCCCAGCACGAGTCCGCGCTGGATGGCACAGCTTCGAGGTGAGACAGGCAGACTGCACCTCTCGATCTCATTCTCAACCCACCAAGGAGACAAGACGGTCTGTGAACCAACCACCCATCCTGTCTCCACTACTGGGTATAGTAATTCTGCACAATTACCCAGGACAAAGGACCTCATCTCATGACACCCTTTTGCCCCACTATTCTAGACACTTCTAGACCTACCGATGGGGACCCAACTGGCTATGCTTCTCCCCTTCACCAAGGCGATCGGTATGTTCTCTGAGGTGACAGAGCCCATGGTGTCAACAGAAAATATATGTATCTTATACTTCATCCTGGCTAGGCCCCAACCTTTCTATCTGGGATATGGGGCCTGACCCCACTTTTCTGAATAGTCTATTGGGACTGAAAACAAACCTTGGCCCCTGGGTCTGTCGGTGCAGTACTTCTAAACAGTCTCTTACAGAAGCAAATCAGTAGACTAACTCTGCACTGTTAACCTCCAGGTAAAGGACAAGGAGAGTTCATATCTCTTGAGGAAGACTTGGCTCCTGTACGGTGCTGTCAAACACGGACAGAGGGGCTGGGGTGACAGCTCAGTTAGTAAAGTACTTGTCTTGCAAGTCTGAGGCTCTGAGTTCTAACCCCACAACCCACGTAAAAAAGCTTAGCTTGGTGGTACATGCTTGTAATCCCAGCACTGGGAGGCAGTGACAGGATACTGGCCATCCAGCTCGAGCTTATTGGTTAACTCCAGGTCGGTGAGAGACCTTGTGGGCAGCTCCTGAGAAACAACACCCGAGATTTTCTTCTGGTCTCCATGCCCAGTCAAGTGCACATGTATCCTCGCACATTTGCAGGTGCAACACACACACACACACCCCACAGACAGCAAATGCTCTGGGGGTCTTGCTTCTCTTCCACAGCATGACTGGGGGCCAAAGCTTCCAACTCAAGGAAACCCCTACTTGATGGAAGGTCCCCCATGCATGCTACGCTCCTGAATTAACCTATTTAAGCATTCTCCACCAGGAAAATCTACCTAATTATTGGAGGGGGGCTGGTGTGGGTGGAGGGGGGCTGGTGTGGGTATTGGTATGGGGGGTGGCTGGTGTGGCTGACTCTCAAAGATAGGTGAGGATGGTTAAGTCCACTTTAGAACTTGCCCAGGCATCATCCAACACTGAGCAACTCTCTAGATCCACCTCCTTGATTTTAGACCAGGCCCCCAATTCTCAATCTTGAGACAAATTGACATCTGTTCTCCCAAGTCTCCTGGCCCAGCCAATGACTCCCCTCCTTTTCTGTGACTTCACAAGGAAGGGTCAGTACCCCTCAAGCTGTCATGGCTGAGCTTGTGGTCCTGGTCAGTCCTCTAGCTGTGTTTTTCTTTCCTTCCCGGAGGGCCTGGGTTAGACCAAGTGTAGGCTCTACATCATTTACCATCTGAATGCCATGGCCAGAGGGTGGTTCAGAGCTGGTCACCCTCTGCTCCTGAAGCCACTGGCCTTCCTGGCCAGAAGGGAAGGTGTTTATCTGGAGTCACTGCTTGGACCTTCCCCAGCCCACAGCCCGTAGCCACAAACACACCTTCTTCAAGGCTTTCTCCCCAGCAGCTTTGTTTCCCAGGCCCATGTACAGCCTTCCCAGCTTCAGCCACATGGACGCCACGTTGAGGGAGTACACAGGGTAGTGCTTACTAGAACAAAAGAAACAACAGGCCATTGTGCCGGGGGCCCCGGAGCACATGCCAGTGCTCTCTTCAGCGATCAGGCTTCCCCCCCGCCCCCCCTGACCCCAGGTCCCAGAGTATGAGGATGTAGGGACAGAAAACTTCATGCCCAGCCCAAGCCCTTCTATTTCAGTGGTCTTAAAGCAAGGCACTAGGGAAACATCAAAGCTAATGCTCTATAAGGGCAGCAATCAGGCCTCTTCCCTCCCATGAGTGGGACAGCACATTACACACACGCTCACATACATGCATGCCCACATGCACATAAACACACAGTGTCTGAAGAGTCCAGTTTTCTGCTATGACCAATGATATGAGTTGTTTTACCAAAACCCTAAAGCCTTGAAGCAAGACACCCCTGATTTCTCTTAGTCTTTTTTTCCACTCTCCAGCACAGTCCAGGTCGTCTTCTCTTTGGTCTGAACTCAGGTCTGCCTGATGGACTTTGCCTAAGAAAGAGTCATTTCCCTGGGAATGGAGCCTAGGAGTTAGCTGGTGGGTGAAAGTGTTTGTATAAGGGGTGCTTATTACAAGCCAGTCTGCTCCACCCTGTCTATCCTGAAAATGTCTGTCCAGAAGATGGAATTCCTGGGCATGAGGTGGCATGCTACCTAGAGGAAGCCCAGGGCCCGGGGAACACGCATAGGAAGAGTAAGGCCTGCAGGAGGGGCTCACTAAGATGAGGACGGGGCCAACACACCAGGCCCTACTGAGCCAGTGGCTGGCCACAGGGCTGCGATCTGGCTGCCTGTGTTCCTCTCTCCCTGAGTCCTGCACAGAGGACGGTGGGCTTCCTTATGCTTCCAAGGGCAAAGGAGGAGGAGAGGTCGCCAGTTTAGGGCTTCCCAAGAGCAGAGTTGAAGAGCTTGGTTTCCCCATGGCTCCCCCTGCTGGCTATCTAGGGCACCGTGGGGTAACCGATGATGGTGATTCTGGGAGAAATTAAGACCAAACACCACCTTTACAGTCCCCAATCTAAGAACCAGAGGGGCCTCTTAGGGCTTGTAAGACTTACAAGAAACATCTGGAATATTCTGGAGCCAGCTGTTCCATAATAGACCCCCCCATACCTAAAGTGCAGGACCAGGGGAGGTCTGCAGCAATCAGCTCCACCTTGCCCCAGCCTGAGAGGCTCGCTGGAGGCAGATGACAACGCCATGATCTCCTTTGTCACCCATTTAATGTTTGATAACCCTCTAGCATGGGGCATTTTGGTGACTAAGTCATTGCTACAAATTGGAAGTTTCCATCTTGTTTTAGTTCACTCGGAGAAGACTGATAAGCACAGTCAACACGGTGGTCCTAGCAGCCAAATTCAAGCTGGGGCTGCAGTGTGGAAAGGCAGAAGGGGATGGGGTGAGTCCAGTGGAAAACAGACTTCTGAGCCCCCTCCCCCACTTAGCAAGTCAGAAGCACCATTTAAGGTAGAAGAGGTGGTGGGCACAGAAACAGACTGATGGCTCTGTAATACCATCCATCCAGAATGAGGCCCCAGGAAGCCCCCTGTGCCACTTCACTCTGCCTCCCGAGGCGTCTCCTTGGGATGAGGCTTAGACCACAGTGGAGCAGAGCCCTGGACCTACACCCAGATGTGTGTGGAGAGATGCAGCAGCTATTCTAGGCAAGCCAGCTCCAACACAGGACAGGAAGACAGCACAGTGCCGCAGAGCACAGTGCCACACAGCACAGTGCCAGGTGTGTTCCAGACCACCCAGTTCCATCCACAGGCAGGTCAGAGCAGCCACCGCACTCACCTGTAGGGCTTGATGATCTTCTGTCCGTATTTCAGGGCTCCTTCCCAGTCCTGCATGTACAGGCAGACACCCATGGCCTGGTACATCATGTGCAGCATGTACACGTTACTGTCCTCAAACACGGAGCTCATCTTCTCCTGGCTGAGCTCACAGATCTCCAGCAGCTCACTAGGGGGTGCTGTGGCGTCAAGGACAGGCCAGGCATTTCGGCTGGGCACTTCCCAGGCAGGGTGGACCTACTCACCCCCCCACCTGGGGGGAAGTAAATAACTAAGGGCAAAGCACACACGGAATTACAATTCTCTTGGAGAAAAAAATTGGGAAAATCCAAAGACCTCACTTGCCATATGCAAACTGAAGACGTTTAGCCAGACCCTCAGTTCAGATAAAAACAGTGGAAAGGAACTTGAACTGCCTTTTAAGACAGTTCAAGTTCTCATCCAGGCTGGGACGCTGACCATCTCAGGGATGCTGACCGTCTCAGTATCTCAGTGGCAGCATTTTTAAGGGAGTTGTGTTTCCCACAGTGATGTTTTCTCCTTTTGTGTGTGTGTGTGTGTGTGTGCGTGTGTGTGTGTGTGTGTGTGTGTGTGTGTGTGTGTGTGTGGCGGGGGGGTTTTCATACATTCCTAACACAGGAAGCAACCCTGCTTCCTCTCAAATGTTGGTGGTGCAGGCTTGCACCACTGCTACTCAAGAGGCTGAGGCAGGAGGATTTCAAGTTCAAGGCCTGCCTGGGTTGCATTAGTTGTTCAGTGCCAGCCTGGGCCACTTAATGAAAATGTCTCAAAATAAAAAGAGAAAAAGGAGAAGGGGTGCAGAGGGGGCTCCGGGACCACCCGGCCCACCAGCCTCTTCAGTGTACGCAATAAACTTCCTTTTTTTTTTTTTTTTTGTCTTTTTGAGACAGGGTCTCCCTGTAGCCCCAGCTGTCCTGGAATTCACTATACAGACCAGGGTGGCCTTGAACTCAGGAAGATCCGCCTGCCTCTGCCTCCCGAGTGCTGGGACTAACAACAGCATGCGCCACACCCGATGATAAACTATTCTTTAAGAAGTGAAAGGCGAAAGGAGAAAGGCTCGGGTATAGCTCCGTGGTAGGGCATTTGCCTGCCATGTGCAAGGTCCTAGATTGAGGGGGAGAAGGGGAGAGAGAGACATGGAGATGGGGAGGAGGGAAGGAAGAGGAAGGGAAGGGAAGGCGGGGGAAGGAAAGTAGGGAAGGGGGAGGAACTGGAGAAGGAAGGGGAGGAGGGAAGAATATGCTTTTCTGTAATTTCCTTTCACTGGTTTTAATTTCTGTCTTCTGTGGTAGAAATCCAGTCTCTTTTCAAATCCCAAGAGAATACTAGAGAACAGAGTGAGATCACGGATTCCAGCGGTCAGCAGAGCTGGGGCAGAACCCTAGATCTGACACCAAGAGCCCCTGGAGAAGTTACTACCTGCCTACGTGCCTGTCTGTGTAGCCAGCAGGGGCTGGGTTTCAGGGCTCTTAGCTCTGTGCCTACTTATAGTAAAACACCAATAAATGAGGGCTCTCTAGAGGCCTACATGGTCTGCCCTGTGGCCTTCTGACAGAGCTAGTCTAGTATGAACACCAGAGTTGAACACCGGCCACCTGTCTGCCCACGTGGCACCAGAGACCTCCCTCCCTTCTGTTCAGAATCGTACACATGCCCTCTCCTCATGCTCCGTTCCTGGCTTCCCACTGCCGCGGCCAGTGAGGACTGGGGGTCCGCACAGCACAGCTGTAAAGGATATACTTGTAGTGCTTGGCCCTGCGGAATTCCTCAATGACGTTGCGCGCATATCTGACCATGTCTCGAATGGCTTCTGCCTTTGGGGGACTGCTGAGTTTCCGGATTTCCACCTTGGCTTTGTCCTGAGAGAGAATCCACAGTGTGAGGCAAACCCTCCCAGGGAAGCCTCAAATCATTCCTCTTCCCACACAGAGGCAGAGGCTCGGGTACTGGATCAGAAAGAATCCCAATACTCCATCCGTTTTTACATAGCCATAAACATGAATTTTCTGCTGTCTTCCCCAGGCAGAACCCCAAGTGTGTATCTGCTGTGATTTGGTGTGTGTCAACCTGTCAAAAAGTCAGGAGAGATCAGAGTGAGTCAGGCTAGCCATAAAAACCCACACTGTGGCCACGTGGGGCCTGATGACAAGCTGGGAAAACCTGATTCCCAGTGCCTTTTCCCTCCCCTTTGTGCTTGCGTGCGTGCGTGCATGCGTGCGTGCGTGCGTGCGTGCGTGTGTGTGTGTGTGTGTGTGTGTGTGTGTGTGTGTGTGTGTGTGTGTGTGTGTGTGTGTGTGTGTGTGGTGTGTACGTGGTATATGCACACATGGCTGTGTGCAGGGGGCCTTGCCCATGTACAATCAGGCCAGAGGAGGACATCAGGTGTCCTGCTCTGTCCCTCTCCACCTTATCCCCTTGAGGCAGGGTCTCTCACTGAGCCTGGAGCGAGGCTGGTCAGGAGCAAGTCCTAGCATTCCTGTCTCCGTGGCCCCCATGCCCACCCCTCAAGCACTCTAGTTACAGTCGATGAAGTCACATCCGGCTTTGTACACGGGTACCGGGGATTTGAACTCAGGTCTTCATGCTTGCACAGCCTGCACTCTTGCCCCGAGTCATTTCCCCAGCCCCCACCTTGCTTTCTGAGATAAGTCTCACACCAGCTTGGAGGCTCAGCGAGCAGGCCTGGCTGCCTAGTAATCCCCAGAGACTGTCCTGTCTCTGCCTACCCAGAGCTGGGCATTACAAGCCTGCTTCTCGCTTGTCTTTCTCACATGGGTTGTGGGATGGAATGCAGGTCACTGTGCTTATAGGGCAAGTACTTTAAGAACAAGCTAACTCCATAGCCCAAGCAGCCACTTTTTTCCAAGAAACGGAAATCTGGCAGATCCTTTCTGCGTCTGCAGTCTACTGGGGACGTTCCAACTGAGCAGCAGGTTGAACAGAGCCTCGTCTGTCTTCATCCCCTCTGCCTGTCTTTGTCACACAGGTTGAAAGGGGCTGCGCCGGCTCACAGCGGAGGTCCTGGGATGGGCTGCGCCCCGCCCCCTTGCCCCCTGAGGGAACTGACCTTGTCTTTTGTGGTACACTCCTGGCACTGGCAGGTGAAGAAGTAGGAGTCTCTTAGCCTGTCATTCCTGTCCTCCGTTGGGTACAGCAGGTCTATGTAGCTGGTGAACACCTAAGAGAGGACAGGGGAGTGTCGATCTGCCTTAGGAACTAAATCTCTACCCCACTCATGCCTTTGCAAACCTCTGACATAGGATTACAGGGACAGAGGACAAGGGGGCCACCACTAAGGGATGGCTGGGCTGCTTACTTTAATATACTGGATTTCTGAAGCAGAAGGAGGGTAGAATGCTGCCCAGCTCCTTATGGTTCAAGAAAGTCTGTATGCTCAGTCCCTAACCCTGGAACTGAAGGGTGAAAGGATCCTTTTCTCCCAGAGAGCAGGCCATGGGTCTGTCCTTGGGCTCGGAGACAGCGGCAAGGGCCTGACTGGGCTCAGGGCCAGCTCAGGGCTTAGCCTTGGGGGTGGGCCCTGCTTTCTCCTTAGGTTCCTCTTACTTCCCACCTGGGATGGCACCTGGCTCAGCTCTCGTTGCTGTCTTTGCTGGGCATGTGCAAGGGAGAACGTGGCCACACTCTCCTGCTCATCTTCCTGCCACCAAGCATCAGGAGAGCAAGATGGCGAACGTACATCTGAGTGGCCTAGAAGCCAGAGTGGGCAACACAGCTTCTAGGACACACTTTGCTGTAGCCTCGCCCGGCTGCAGCTCCAATCCTGAGGGCCAGGGTACAGGAGTGAACTGGGTCGGGGCTCAGTAGCTCCCCCTGCCTTCCTTTAATACCAAGGTCTGTAGCTAAGATTTGGAGCATCGGGAAGGTTAGCCCTTCTAGGCTTGTCCAGCCATTCTAGCACCTACAAAGTTCAGTGCAATCAGCCTAAAATCACAGTGAATTTCATAATGCTTTAAATAAGTCACAATTTTGTACTGGGGTCCTCAGCCACATGTGGTCAACAGGCCATAGCATACACATGCCTGTTAGGCAGTGCCCAGCATCTACTCACGGGGATGGCACTGTCAGCTAGTCCCCATATTCAGGTACATCTGCTAGAAAGTTACAGGCGTGCCAGGCCCCACCGGCCCCACCAGGCAGGTAGGCCAACAGAACAGCATCAGGGGCTGTGGCAGCTAGGCCTCCCCCTCCCAAGGGTATGTCTTGGCACCTGATGCCTAGAGGAACTGGCTCCTTTCTCTCTGGAGGGCACATAACCCACGAGGTTATATGCCTATAACCTTCTCCAAATCAGAGTCACCTATGGCCTGGGACTGCATGCCCACTGGTCAGCTCTGCCCTGCAGCACAACAGGCAGCCTGATTGCCTCGATATGACTTATGGACTCAGTGCAACACACAGAAGGTTCCAGAAGATGGCGCCAAAGGCCACTCCAGCACTGTTCAGGGCTCAGCCTGTCCAGGAGATGGGCAGCTCGCGTCTCCTCCAGACAGCTTGCAGGAGCCAGGGTCAGTCATCCACTTTGCCTCACAGTAACTGTCTGTTTTAACAGAGGCCTCAGGCTCATTCCACCAACCACTCAGAAACCTAGGCAGCCTGGCTGCAAACCCTCCTCATGTTGGCTTTACAAAGGCAGAAAGGTGAACCTGTATGTCAGCTGTGTACCAGTTAAAACCTTGAAAAATCAAAGCATCAGCTTTTAGCACTGATGATACCTAAATTTTTAAATAAACAAGCACCTTCCAACAGCATTGCCAATTCAACTGAAATTTCACCTAGAAAGCATGAAAACAAGCCTCTACAAATCCATGTGACCGCTAGAGATTTCCTTAACAGCACAGAGCAGCAGCACAGCCCTTCAGGCAGACCCAGCCTACCAAGGTGACAGGGCTCATATGGTGGTCATGTGACCCTGGCACTGGAAAGGAAAATGGCTCTGGGAGCAGGTAGTCGGGGGAGCACGTGATGGGGTTCCATTTCCCTCCATTAAGGTGAGAACTGATGATACCTCCTGCTCCCAAACTGCCTCTACTTCCCAGATCAGGGCACGTACCTGGCCACCTGAGTTCCACTCCTAAAAACGGACTCTGACCTGAAATGCAAGCATGTCACCTGGGATGGTGCCTCATCACCTACTGCTGGGTGGCTTGTTCTCTTTCAAGCAATATGATGGTTAATGTCGGCTGTCAGCTGGACAGGATCTAGAGTCACCTCGGAGACAAGCCCTTGGGCATTTCTGTGAGGAAGTCTCTATATTAATTGAGGTGGGAAGACCCACCCTAAATTTGATTGATGTTAGCTCAGGGGCTGGAGTCCTGAGAAAACAAGCTGAGCACCTGCGTCCGTGTTCGCCTCTCTGATTCCTGGCGGCAGATGCCATGTGACCAGATACCTCAAGCTCCTGCCACCAGGCCTTCTGACCATGGAGGGCTGCACCCTTGAACCCAGAGCCTGTCTTCCAGGCCTTCTAACCATGGAGGGCTGCACCCTTGAACCCAGAGCCTGTCTTCCTTAAGTCGTTTTGTTGGGTGTTCTGTCACTAAAGATGACCAGCAGCTATGGCAGGCCGTGGTGCTTGGAGCTTGGCAGGGTACTGGGCAAGAGGAAAATTCACTATCCACCCGTGGGACAATCATGAAACACTTGTTAAGAATTTAACTCAGTGTTAGTTCCTGTTTCTGTCTGACCAAAGGAAATAACAAGTCCTCACGGGCCCAACAAGGGATGCCAATCCAGGTCCCAAATCTGACTGCGAAGCCCTGGAAGTCCTGAGGACCAATACTGTTTAGACTCTGGAGTCCCATGTGGGTGGTGACACTGCGTGGATCTGTCTGCACCACCCTTCACAAGGAACGGCCCCACTGTGTGGCCACACTGGCTGCCCACTCACCTCTTCTCCTGGGTGGATTTCCTGTACAGCTCTGACTTCCGCCAGGGTCCCCTTGTAGGTTACGATGACATTGGGACAACAGCTGTGATTCATTAATGCAACACTGTCAATCAGAAGAGAAAACCCAGTTTTCTGAGTGTCATGGGCAGACTGTTTAAGCAATTCACTGCCTACCTGTTTGCTGAGTTGGAGGAACTGAATCTTTGTAAGACATTTAAAAGTATATAGACATTTCACTTAAACTATTCTAAGAGGATGTTCCCCATATACTTCAAGTTATATCTAACCTTTGTTGGTTTTGGTTTTTGGTGACAGGGTCTCCTGTATCCCAGGCTGGTCTAGAACTCGCTATGTAGCTGAGGGTGACCTTGAACTTCTGATCCTCCTGTGTGACACCACATAAAGTTTATGCAGTGCTGGGGACTGAACCCAGGGTTTCACATATGTTAGGGAAGTTCTCTACCAACTGAGCTACATCCCCAGCCCAATGTCTAACATCTTAATCTCTTTAACCATATTGAAAAGCAAAACCCTCAGTTTAAGATAGTGATCTCTAAGCTATAAACAAAAAACAAATATCCTAAATATTCCTTCTGGATAGATGCAGGACTCCAGCACCTACAGCTGACTGCTACCCCACATATACACACTGCAAGACCGGGGGCTGCCTTTTGCATATTTGTTTTATTCCTAAATGGATTCTCGAATGTTCCCTTCAGATGTTGAGAAATGCCAGCTGCTTGGGGGAGGGAGGGCTGTGATCCCCCCAAGGGCCCTGAGAAGCACCTCGATCTCCGCATCTGGAAAATTGGGACATAGTCACTCCCGCTGCTCGGCTGCTTTTCAGGGACAGCGACGAGGAGAGAGACTCGCCTAGGCGAGGTGCTTTGAGCTTTCTGATTATATGAAGGTCAAAGTTCTGAGAACAGAAATTTCTGAACTACAGGGGCAAGTGCTTGATCTCTCAAATGCCGCCTTTGAAATCACACACGGATGTGATTTCAGCTGGAGAGGATTTTTTCCCCAATTAAAAATGCCTGGAAACTGGGGCTCATGCGCCTGTGGGCATGTCTATGTGTACCACCACTTAGAGGACCAGCACTACCCACCTGACCCCCAAGAGACCAGAACCTATTGGACCAAGGTTAAAAGAAGGAAAGGGGTCTCTGAATTGAGGATGTGCTGCCCCAGGGTGGCCCGTCCTGGTACAGAGTGGCCCTTCCCTCCCTCCCATTTGTCAAGGTCTGAGTGGAGTAGGCAACGGACTTCTCAGACAGATAGGTAGCAAGTCCTTGGTCTTGTGGTTTTGTCCTTGGGAAGAGACATGTGACTCCACCCTGCACTCCAGCCCACCAAGATTCCTGAAGGGATGCACCAGGAGTCAGGCCCTGCGACACCTGCTGAGCAAAGTGCGGAAAGGGTGCACGCTAAAAGAGAAGGTGGTTTCTAGAACCATCTCGGAGAATATACTTGAGGTTATCTCTTTCTGGACAGACTGGACGGGGCAGGGGATCACCATGTGGGAAAGGAGGAGGCTGCACCGTCTGCCATCCTCTGACACTGACGTTTGTAACAAGGGCAGTTCACTGCAGAGCCGAGGGCGTCCAGAGGCACCTTCTTCACAGGGCTCTGTGCCTGCTCTCCTCCTTCCTCTTCCCAGCTTTGAAAATCTAAAAGAATGTCTCCCAAGATGCACTCCAGTCCTCACTATGGGAATTCAACACACAGTGGATCCCACCTTGGCCTCAGGGACAATACTGGTACTTTCTGTCTCTTGGGCTGAAGTTGGCCTGGGAAAGCTGCTCCTGATCTGCTGGGTTCTTTTCTTCCTGACCCACTTGATGCCTGCAGTCAGGGAGCAGGAAACACTTACCACAGGAGCAGGTGTGTCAAGTGGGGAGCATAAAGAGCTTCCTAGGTTCAACAGAACCCCAAGGCCACCCCCCATATCATGTAGTCAGCAGCCTTCCCAGGGAGGGAGTGAACACACAGGATGGATCAACTTGGGGTGCAGGAAGGTGTCCTAGCTCCATCTCGGAAGCAGGGACCCATCGTTACAGCAATCCCATTCCGACAAGGGCAGAGCCATAAATACCTCTACTTGCCCAGTAGCTACCCTTTCAAATTATTCAAATATGCCTGCAGTCAAGAAAAAAAAAAATCTGATAATTCTTTTGAAATTTTTCTCTAGTTCACTACTTTGACTCCAAACTGTTCAGGGTTTGTACTGGTACTTTCCAGAAACGGCAGCTGGACACGAAGCTCATATTTCTCTACCAAACCCACAGCTAATTCTTGCATTAGCAATTAACGTCTCACTTTGGGCCTTAGAAAGGAGGAGGTTTCTAGAGCCACAGGCCTGCAGAGAGTGTGTTCTCAGCAGGGTGCAGGCTGTTCCTTCTATGCGCCCTATCAGATGTTCCTAATGACAGTTCTCAGCCCGGCAGGACGTCACCACTACCACTCCGCTAACTACGGCCTTCTGAGCCTTAAGTGTGGGGAAATATTTTGAAATCTTGCAGATTAAAAAGCTGTCTTAATTCACTTGGAGTTTCATGTCTGCCACATGCAGTCAGGTGGATTATGTAAAAATTAAATTAGTGTTAAGTGCAAAGAGTAGAAACAAAGTCACACTCAACCTACTCAGGAAATATCGCCGATCCTAAATGAGAGAGCTCTTCGTCTTCAATGGTGAAGCCATTACAGTTGACCTGCAGTGGAGAGAGAGAGAGAGAAGTGACCAGCTAGAGCTGCCCTTGGCCTCAGATCATCTCCTCAGTTTCCGCCTTCCCCAATCATGTTCTGGTATAGCGATTTGGAAGCTGTTCCCATGGCCACAGAATCCTTCGTCCAAATAAACTGCTCATCAGGTCTGCATGTCAACAAACAGACCATCTCAACAAATACCAGGGTCAAAGCACCTCTCCTTGTGACCCGCCCACCCAGCCAAAGCGAGGCTAGGACACCGCAGAGCCCTGGGAGGGGCCGTCTGGGACTGGCGACCTGGGTCACAACACTAAAAGTCCTGCTCCAGTGAGATCAAGGGGTGCTGTGTGTATGTGTGTGAGAGGATGTGTATGAACATGTGTATGAACATGTGTGAACATGTTTATGAATGTGTGAGCATGTGCATGCATGTGGATCTGTTTGTGAACATGTGTGAATGTTTGGACATGTATATGCATATGTGTACAAACGTGTTTATGAATGTGGTTGTGAATATTATGAACATGTATGAATGTCTGAGTATGTATGTATGTCATGTATGAACATGTGTTTTGAATGTGTGTGAACATGTTTATGAATGTGTATGTGTGAATATGTGCTTGTGTGGGTGTGTGTGTGTGTGTGTGTGTGTGTGTGTGATCTAGAGCCCACCCCAGAACTGTCTCGCTTTAGAAAAAGAACCATGTCCTCTGCCATCTCTTTCAGGTGAGGCCGGAACTTGAAAGCCCTATAGATCTGTGCAATGCCATCTCTCCCTCTGAGATGTGTAAGGACCAGGAGACCCAAGTCAATGAGGCTTTGCCTTTCATGTTTCAGCCAAATCAACCCCCGGCCCCTCCCATCTTTGAGAATTGTTGTATTCAAAATACTGGGATGGAAGGGAAAGCTGGGTCGGGGTGATAGTCAGTGGGTAAAGTGTTTGCCTTGCAAGTATGAGGGCCTGAGTTTGACCCCAGAACCCACGTCAAAAACCAGCATGGTGGTGTAGGCTTGCGATCTCAGCTCTGGAGAGGTGCAGAAAGGCAGGTCCCTGGAGCTCACTGGCCAGCAAGCCTAGTCAAATTGGTGAGCCCTAGGTCCCTGTAAGAGACCATCTCAAAAAACAAGGTGGGGCAGTCCTTGAGGAAGGACACCTAAGGCTGACCTCTGGCTTCCACATGCATGCTCATACAAGTGCTACTTGTGCTACACCCACCTACTCCCCTCGCCCCCAGAGGTCTAATTCGGGGCCAGCAGGCTGAAAATCAGGACTAGGAAAGTCAGTTCCTATATTCTGCAAATTCCTTTCCACACACACTTAGTGGCAGGCTTCATGTGCAGGGCTCTATACACAGGACAGCGAATCAGGCTAACATCTGTGGCCTCCAAAGACATTCCGTCTCCTGGGAGAAGAATTACACAGGTGTTCACCTAAGTACCTAAAATCTCAGGGCTGGAAGAATCTGTGTCTTCTGCTTCTAGAAGATGAATGAGAGGCCAGAGAGGAACTGGGGCTGGTCTCTTGTCACAAAGTCAGGGGTGAAGGCTGAGACAGCTGACACTCCTGACAGTCCCCGAGATGACTGACTTCGCCCTGCTTCCTTCCCACCTGGAGATGGAGCACTGCTAAGTGAGCACCCCTGCAGCCAGGCACCTCACGAATCCTCAGTATCACACCGGCATGAGGGCAGAACCTCATCGGACAAATAGAGAAACCAGCGCTGGGGGTTTCCATAGTTAAGTGACTGGTTCAAGAATGTGGAAGAGGCGGAGCAGTGCAACAGGAGTCAGAATTCAGACAAGATCTGACGGCAAAACTCAGCTTCTGCACACCTGACCATTCTTCTAACCCCTGTCCCCACCGTGTATGTACACAGCTGCCCATGTAGAGGTCCAAGGTCAAGCTCAGGTGTCACTTTCCACCTTGTCCGAGGCAGGGTCAGGTCTCTCTCTTGTCTGTCGCAGCATGTGCCAGGCTAGTGGTCCAGGGATTCTCCTGTCTCTTCCTCTCATCTTGATTCAGGCCCACTGGCCACAGGTGATGCTACTGTGTCTGGGTTTACATGGATTCTGGGGATCTGGCTTTACTGAGCCATCTCTCTAGGCCTGACAACATTTCTCCTAAGAGGAGCTGCATCTACTAACAGTGGATGTGGCAATTTCACATAAAATCAAAGGGCCACTGGGAAAACTTGGTGCACACTACAGATGAATTTACTTTCCGTACTGGGCAGGGGGTGGGGAGAAGAGGAGGAGGGGAAGAGGAAGAGGAGGAAGTGGAGGAAGAGGAGGGGGGAAAAGGAAAGGAAGGGTTCCACAGGTTCATAAAACAATCCAGAAGGCCTGGGCATTTCTATACAGACTTGGCGCACTGTATTTTTTTTGTGTGTTAACTTCAAGTATCCCGATCAGTTCTATCATTAGTACTTTAACCAGTGATCACCAAACCATATTAGGCAGGATAAATTAGGAGATTCCTTCACCCAACAAAAGTAATTAGAGGTGAGGTGTGGTGGTGCATACCTTTATTTAATTTAATTTAATTTTATTATTTATTTTATGTGTATGAGTATATTGCCTACATGTATGTGAGTGCATCCGTGTTGTGCAATGCCACAGAGGTCAGAAGAGGGCTTCGGATTCCCCTGGAACTGGAGTTAAGGACAGTTCGTAGCAGCCATGTGGGTGCTGGGATTCGAACCTGGATCCTCTGTAAGAGCAGTCAGTGCTCGTAACTGCTGAGTCATCTCTCCAGCCCCAGTGCACACCTTTAATCTCAGCACTCGGGAGACAGAGGCAAAAGGAGATTTGTGAGATCAAGGCCAGTCTGGTCTATATAGCATAGCAAGTTCCAGGGTAGCTGGGGCTAGAGGGAGACCCTGTCTCAAAAAAATGCTATTAGAGCACAAACTGTGCCTAGGTACTGAATGATGGATGCACCATCTCTCAATGAACAGAAGACAGCAGGGTGTGGTACCCATGTGGACCAACAAACGTTTGCAGAATGAAAAAGCGAATGAGATCATTTAACAAGAGTTATCAAAACAGATGGAGGGATGGACAGCTCCCAACCCCTTTGGGGACTGGGTTCTTGCCCCCTTGATCTGCTCCTCCCCTGCAGTGAGCCCAAGTGGATCAGCCTGACTCCAGAGTCCTCCAGGATGGTGCTCTGACCATGTCTCTTCACCCCCTTCCTCCCTTATTGTGGAAGCCTGTGCATCTTCTGTAAGTGCCATCACTGCTCCTCTCCGGGAGGTGGGGATGTGTTTGAGCCAAATGCACAGCAATTTTCCTGCCAGCCTTCCCTGCTTCTGAGATGCCCCTATGGAAGGAAAGTGAGCCTGCACATGAAGGAAGGTGCATGGACTCTGGTCCTTCAAGTCAAATCAGGCGTAAATGCTCTGCTAAAGCTATTCTCATAATTAGCATTTAAACTAGATGTAGGCTGCACACCAAAAATACACTTCTCAGCCACGCAAAGGTGATTAAAGCCCACCTTGGAGGAGCACGGTTACCTCTGCCTGCCAGCTACTACTGGGCTGAGTTAACCTAGGAGAGCCCTCTCTGCTCCAGAGGAAAGGGCTCAGGGGTGGGACAGCAGGTACACAGCTGGGGGCTGAGGTAGGGCCAGAGGTTGAGGTGGGGAGGGAGCCATGTGGGAACTGAATGTTCCTTTTTAAACTCACACACAGAGAGACTGGTGTATGGGGCTCTAGATGGAGCTCAGCCAGCAGAGTGTTCGCCCAGCATACATGAAACCTCGGGTTCAATCCCAACACTGTATGAACAGGGTGTGGTGGCACATGCCTATAACCCTAGGATTTGGAAAATGGAGGCAGGAGAATCAGAAGTTCAATGTCATCCTTGGCTACATAGTAAATTCAAGGCCAGTCTTGTCTATATGAGACCCTATCTCAAAAAAGGAAGGAAGGAAGGAAGGAAGGAAGGAAGGAAGGAAGGAAGGAAGGAAGGAAGGAAGGAAGGATAGATGTGTACATACAACCTTAGAACAGATACTAGGATTTGGTCAATATTCAATTTATAAAGAATACATTATCTAGTTATATATGTATGCCTGTGTTTTCCCTTAGGCATGGAAACGCCTGACTCACTGTCTCCACACATACACTTGTACTTTTGAGACCTGGTGTCTTGACCTTTGCTGTGAACACATGGTCTTGTATGTACCACATCATGGGAGGGCCAACCAACATATGTCACTATGTTAGAGGTTCTCTTTTCCCAAGGCCTACAAGAAACTTTGTTTCTTCACATAACCACATCTCATTGAGAGGAAAAAGTCCCTGTGTATCCAGTTTCTCAAAACATTTAAGTTGATTCTTTTACTTTCTGCCCAAATCTATCATCTCTGGATGCTGTGATGACTGATACTGATTGTCAACTTGACAGGACTGAGAATCACCATGGAAACAAACCTCTGGGCGTATCTGTGAGGGAGTTTCTAGATTAGGTTAAGTGAATGGGCAGACCTTTGCCGAATGTGGAGACACCATCATCCCCTGGGCTGGGGTCACAGACAGAATAAAACGAGGAAAGCGAGCTGAGCCGCAGTCCTCACCTTTCTCCGCCTCTTAGCCCTGGATACCATGTGACCAGTCATCTCCAGCTCCTGCCACTGTGCTTTCCCCTCTGTGATGCACTAGATGCTCAATGATGAACCCAAACAAACTCTTCCTTCCTGAGAAAATTAGCTAGTCAGATGCTGAGGAAATTGTGATGCAAATCCAACATTATTCATTTCTACCTTAACATTCGTAGCTTGACCCCATGATTCCTTTTACAGGGAATAACTCTCTGATTATGACAGTTACATAGTTACCATATAAACACTGAATCTATGAAATCTATCACTGAGCCATTAACTGTGGCTCCTCTGGGCTGAAGTGAAGAAAGACTTGCGTCCCCCTGACATCCATAATCTTTAGTGTGTGCTTTTATCTTTATCATCCATTATTAGCGTGATCGCACCCAGGGAAGGTCACCTTTAACCAGACATCCAACCCTAAGAGGAAAATGCAAGGCCACACGAGGCAGGGGCCCCGTGTGAAAGCCAGGCTATGAAGCACAGCTCTGGCAGATGTAGGAGGCTACCGCATCCCCTTTCCTAGCAGTGCCCATGCTTAGCCCCTCCTGTGGCCTAGCACCCTGTTTTTCCAGCATTTCCAAGCTGTTCTTGGTTGTTAAAGGCCTCTCTCATTTCTTATTATACCACACACGGACAACCTGGGCTTCTAGAAGGAACCTTGAGTAAGCATCAGGAAGGGCCCCCAGAATGGTCCTCTCTGTCTGTCCCCAGCCTCCCTCTTGAGGCCTCTCAATATTCCACTTTGATGATGCAGCCTGGGTAGGAGAAACCCCACTACAGGGGGAGGGGCATCTGACAGGGCACAAGGCTGATGCCAATGAGAGGAAAAGTGAACGTAATATGGGAGCATCACAGGATCCTTTCTGAGTGTGTGTGGGAGTCAGGGCTGGCAGATCCTGGTTTTCTGTGTATGTTTACCTGTGAGTGTACACGTGCTGTGCATGGACATGTGGAGACCGGAGGTCAACTTTGGGTATTGTTCCTCAGGGCCCATCCACTTTGGTTTTTGAGACACAGCCTCTCATTGGCCTGAAATTAGCCAAGTTGTCTAGGCTGGCCAGCCAGTGGGCACCAGAATGCTCTATCTCCACCTCTTCAGTGCTGGGATTACAAGCACAGGCCGCCATGCTTGGCTTTTTAGTGGGTTCTGGGGACTGAACCCAGCTTTACCAACAGCCATCTCTCCAGCCCTCTTGGCTTCCTCGAGTTCTTTGTGAAGTGGAGACAGAGGGGAATTTCCCCCACATACAGCCAGGACCTTCACTGGCCCAAGTCTGCTGGCAAGGCTGTGGTGGCACAGGATCCCAGGGGTCCGATCCAGGACCTCATGACACTGATGCCCTCACCCTGCCTGCTGTGGGAAGGGCACTGGAAGGGAAAGGGCAAAGTCTTCTCAGATGTGGTGTCCTTACCTGGGCAAAGAGCACCAGGAGGCTGCTCTGGTCGGGGAACTCGAGGTGCTTGGAGTAGAACTGACGCAGGGCAGCGATGTCACTTTGAATGAGATCTTTCTTCTCGTTATCTAGTTTGTCCAGATCTGTGGGAAATGACCTGTTACTCATCACACAAAATGCTGGGTTTGTCCTGTTACAAATGGCAGGAGGGGGTCCATTCTGATGAGTCCCCAAAAAACACTTTAGTTCCCATGACTTGGTCTAACTGACAAACCCTCTCTTCCTCTACCAACTGAAGTAAGTCACTCTGAATAGGACTCTACTGACCAGTAGCACTGAGGTCAGGAGCCATGACTGGCCCCAGCCTCAGTGTGGCCCAGTGTCCGTTGCTTGGCCCTGGGATCTGGGTCACAGTGAGGCTGCTGAGCAGCCCTAATGTAATGCCTTTTGGTAAAGTTATAACCTGGGGGCTGGGGAAATAGCTCCATTGGTAAAGGCCTCCACATGCAAGTGTATACACGTGTATGTGCACCTACGTGCATGTACCTGCGTGTGCGCGCACACACATACACACACACACACACACACACACACACACACACACACACACGCTGTTTCCCAGACTGCAGTTCAGCTAAGACCCAATCCAGCCTGCCAGGAAAGACAGCAGGAAATGGTCCATCGTGTGTCCTGTGAGTTCCTACCTACCCTAATTATTTTCTAAGAAACCCATGGAACTGGAGGGTGGAGGGGGGCAGTGAAAATGTTCTTCAAAAAATAGCATGCAAGCCCAAATAAAACTAATCATTTGAAAAGAAACACCACCCACACTAAGAGAACAACTTAGTCCTTTCTGTCCTCAATCCTGCCCGATATGGGTTAAAATTGTGCCTAATTAACAGCACGTCCATCAGAAAAAGACTTACGTGATTCAAACTCCTTCACGGCTAGCAGTGTCTCTGAAGGTGTCCTCTCTGGGTGGATTTTCTAGTAATTGGGGAAGAAATCACAGAGAGCTGTTAATGCCCAGTATGCAGACACAGGGTGTCCACTATGACATCCAAGGGCCCACCATTTTCAAGGAAGTAAAGAAAGCCACCCAAGGAGTCCACCCCTTGGCTCTGAGTGTATGCTTAACCTCCAGATCCAAAGGGCTCATTTAAAAAGCTTTTGAAGGTGTCCACCGCATCCCTAACATCCTGACACACTATGCACACAGTAGGCTCGGGAATGCTTGTTACGGAAAAGAACAGGGCCAGAAAACAACTTTTTAGGGCCCTGACTTAAAAGGACTGAGTCCACAGACAAACCATCCTATTTATTATTTCTTCTTCTAAAAAGGAACAAAATGAAACCCCCCATCCATTTCACACTTTCTTTAAGCATAGGCTAAAATGATCTCAAATTCCCTGTTTCAAAAAGATCACTTTCGGTTCTATCTGCAAGCCTAGATTCACTTGAAACATGTGGCTGTCTTTGTTCTAGACACCCTGAGAGGAACTAACAATACTAAACCCACTAGGCTTTGAGGACATGAATAAACTTGGTGTTGACAAGAGTTCAAAGCCAGAGCTCAGGAGCTGGCCTGAGGCCTGGGCTTTGTAATCTGGCTATTCAATTTGGGGATACAGGTGCTCCAGCAGGGCTCCTCACCTCCCTAGTTAACATGTTAAGCCTCCCCTGGGTAGTTTGGTAGCCTGTCTCCCCTAATCCTTTGCAAGCTCCTAGAATACAAATGGTCTGTTTTTTTTAATTACCTATTCCTATAGAGATGAAAAGACAGGTAACTTTTCATTTAATAGTCGATTAGTGGCAGTAATTATAATAAAAGTTGAATGAAACCAATCCTAAACTTTATCACGGTATTCAGACTACTCTCCTGGTGTCAAAACATTTCAGTAGTTCTTTTCCAGAGCAGGCATCTTCCATTCACAGGACGCACCTGTTAAATAAGCCACCTTCATTCAGGAAAGCTCATAAACTTCTTCAGAGTTCTTAACACAGGACTGTCAGTAACACCAGGAAGGCAGGGCAAGGAAAAGCCAAGAGACTGGTTTCCCAAGATCTGACGGCCTGTTTACTCCGGCCCCTACCAGTCACATCATTTCGCTGTTCCCTTTTTCCCAGTGACCCTATAAATTCACAACACTGTCATTCAGGATGTGACAGCTGTCTCCAGGGAAAACCATCTTGACCTCTGGGCCTTACTCGTCCAGAAACCCCTAAATGGATATGTTACTTGTAGCCAGAGAGTCACCTTAGGCTGCACCTGACCCAGCTGCACACAGTTTAGTTTACTTCTGTTTACAAACCCAGAACCCTAAATTTGGTCTGGGGACAGACAGAAGCTAATCATTACAATCATATTCACTTTAGATAAAAAAGATGAATTGGGAGAGGAGGTAGGTGCTAGTAGGTACGTAGAAGAAAAAAGTAGATGAAGGTTGAGGTTTTAAATTGACAGGGGTCTGGAGAGATGGCTCAGCAGTTAAGAGCACTGACTACTCTTGCAGAGGACCCGGGTTCGATTCCCAGCACCCACATGGCGGCTAACTGTCCTTAACTCCATTTCCAGGGGTTCCGCTGCCCTCCTCTGACTTCACGGGCATTGCACGACACGGGTGCACTTACATACATGCAGGCAATACATTCATATGCATAAAAAATTTTAAATAATAATAAAATATTTTTAAAAACTGGCAGCTCAGAGGCCTTGCCACCAACTTCTACAGACATCACCTCCTAAGTGCCCAGGCCTGTGTCTGGAGACCATGAGGACAAACCCTCTGGAGTCTTTTCATTCTCTTTTAAAACCAGGTGCTCAGGAAGCACCAACCACACAGGTCTGATGAGGCCTCCAGGGAACGAGCTGACAAGTGCCCACTCCTCCCCCTCTGCCTTTCTCTACTTTTTCTCTGTCCTGGCACCTCCCTGGCTCTTCCCTCTGGTTCCTTGTCTCTCATCTTCACAAGGGCAGGGGGAAGCGACAGAGGAACAGAACTCCACACAGAAAAGGAGACACGGTGGCTCCATATGTCCAAAAGCAAAGGAGAAACTCACGAGGCATCTCTGACCAGCCAGGCTCCCAGAAATCCGGACGTGGTTTTGGTCAGGTCTGGCCTTTCATGTCCTAAAGTCATGTCCCTGCTTTTCTACCTAAACCAATCTAAAAGAAAGCTTTGAATTGAATTGCCATGGCTACATTCCTGCTCTGGGATGAGCAACATCTTAACTACCCAGGGCAAGAAAGCCAAGCTTAACTCAGAGTGCCGTCCGCCCCACCCACGTGCAGTAATGGAAATGGAGTCTGAGAACAGAACTGCATGATCAGCCCAACACACTTGCTCATCTTGCTGACCTTTAATGAGAACATAATGCAGTGGAACACCATCCTATCTCCTCACCTGCTTAGCCAGAATCCTTGCTGTGAGCCGCACTGTCTCTGAAGGATTCCAGTTTTCCCCCAAAACCACCATGGGAGAGCACTCCAGCTTGTGCATTGGCCAGTCTTCCTTCTGCAAAGATTTTTTAAAGTGTCAGGCACATTTTTAATACAGACACACACAGACAGACACATACACACAAAATAGAGACACATCGACATACACATGGACACGCAGAGACATAAACATACACGAAGGCACACAGACACACAGAGGCACACAACACACACAGAGGCACACACCACCAGATACACAGCCACTCAACACACACAGACAACATAGAGGCACACACGCAGAAACATGCAGACATATACATTGACACAGAGACATAAACACACAGAGAAATACACAGATACACACAGAACTACAACACACACAGACACAGTCAGGTGAAGACATACACACTGACACACAGGGACATAAACATAGAGACACAACACACACAGAGTCACACAACACACACATACATACAGAGACGTGCACACAGAGATATACAGATATATTACATACATATCAATACTTATACAGAGTCATAAATATACACAGATACATAAGGTACACACACACAGCCTCAAGGGCCAAGAGAGATTGCATTAAGTCCCCCAATTAAGATCAGGTGGAACATGCTTCCTCCCTCAGATGTTCATAAAAGCTAGGGATAATACATCTTTTAGGACAGACATGATCGTCAAACTTTTGACTCTGTTTGGGTCAAAGTGATTTTTTGCTATTGTTTTGAGGATTTTTATTTATTTATTATTTTTATTTTATGTGTATGTGTGTATTGCCTGCATGTATGTAAATGCACCCATGTTGTACAATGCCCACGGAGGTCAGAAGAGTGAGTCGGATCCCCTGGAACTGGAGTTATGGATGGTTGTTAGCCACCACGAGAATGCTAGGAACCAACCCCGGACCTCAGCAGGAGCAGTCAGTGCTCTTAATCACTGAGCCATCTTTCTACCCCCTGAGGATGTTTTAAAAAGAGTCTCATGTTGTAACTCAGGCTGGTTTGGAACTCACTATGAGACTAGACTCACCTTTGTGGAAATCCTCCTGCCTCAGTCTCCCCAAGTGTAAGTGTGAGCCATGATACCTGGCTGCTTTGTGTTTTGTTTTTTTCCACGAAATCCCTCCTGTCTTGCAATTCCAAAAGCACACACCTTCCCACAGTCTGTGTGAGCTGGGACCTCAGGTGGATGACCTGTGTTTCTAGTCTGGCCTGCTCCTGATGGTCCTGATTCTCCTCTGGTCTCAAAGTCAGGACAACACTGACAACTGTTTTTCATGGCCACTGGCCTCCTTGCTAGGTAGTATTTAAAAGGTACAAATGAGGTTTGACCAAGTTCCCCTGGACACTGTGCTCACACTCCACCTCCACCTCTGCCCAACCTTTCTACTAGGCTCAGCCGGGACACAGGGTCAGTTGGTAAGGTGCACACCACACAAGCATGAGGACCCGAGTTAGAGCCCAGAACCATGTAAAAAAGCTGGGTGTGGTGGTGCGTGCTTGGAGTCCCAGCACAGGGGAGGAACGGGCAGGAGGATCCATGGGACTGGCTGGTCAGCCAGCTGAAGGTTGGTGAGAGACCCTGTCTCAAAAAACAAGGTGACGGTACAGAAGAGTGGCACCCAAGGCTGACTGTAGCCTCTACACACACACACACACGCACCATGTACACACACCATGTACACACACACACCATGTACACACACCATGTACAAACACACACCATGTACACAAACACACCATGTACACATACACGCCATGTACACACACACACCATGTACACATACACGCCATGTAGACACATACCATGTACACACACGCCATGTACACACACACACACCATGTACACACACACCATGTATACACACACCATGTACACATACACACCATGTACACACCATGTACACATACACACCATGTACACACACACCATGTATACACACACCATGTACACATACACACCATGTAAATACACACCATGTACACACACACTATGTACACA